TCCCCCCCCCCAAATTTCAACTCCTCCCAAAAAAAATTTCTGGCTACGGCCCTGGCTGGATGGCCCATGTGGTCTCTTCCAACCATATGCTTCTATGAAAGCCCTCCCAAAGGAAGACCATCCAGCCTTTGCTTAAAGACTTCCAGAGAGGGAGACTCCATTGGACTCCAAGGCAAGAGTGTATTGAGTGGAATCCCTTTTCCTGCCATGTGAACCCATTGCTCTGAGTCCCAGCTCACCTCCTCCTCCTCCTCAACGGGGAACCTTTTCAAGACCAAACAATCACCCCTGAATGCAATACCTGGAGAAGGCTTCCTGCTCCCTCACCTGGATGTGGGCCATGTAGGCCTGCACCACCTCCAGGCTGTACTGGCCAATCAGGTCGCTGACCAGCTGGATCCCCTTCTGGTTGGCGGCCACTTGGGCCCGAAGGTCAGAGAGGTTGTCCTGCAGATTGCGAGTGCCGCTGCTGCCGGGGATGCGGCCGGGAGCCATCAGGGCCTCTGTCACGGCTGCGAGGGATTTGAGGAGGGGGTGTCAGAAGTGAAAGGTCCATCCATCCCAGGTCAAGTGCAAAGAGAGACCCCCTTCCTGCCCCATTGGACAGACCTTCCTCTTGGAAGACGCCCCCCTTGACCAGCTTGAAGGACACGAAGACGGCGCCTTCCTCTTGCAAGGACCGGGAGTGTGGGGGCATGGAGCCCGGCGTGATCCCCCCAATGTCCGCGTGGTGACCCCGGCTGGCCACGAAGAAGACCGGCCTGGCCTCCCCCGGCCAGAAGACCTGCACAAAGAGGGAGAGAGAGAAAGAGTAGTGTTAGTAGCCCACAGAATGTCTCAGCCCCTTTTACTCTCAGTGTGATAACAACTCAAAAAATACACATGAGTCTGTTGCTTTAAGTAGAAACAAAAATATAGTTCTATTATTTATTTACTACTATATTTATATACCGCCCCACTCAACCCGAAAGGCGACTTGGAGAGGTTCTATTCACTGTAGATCAAAAACACAAAACAAAGCAGAAGAATTCTCACCAATATACAACAAACAATATCACCGGTGAGTCTTCTTTACACCATGATATGCAAACATATAGAAAAATAATACAGTCTCTCTACTTAGTTATCAGTAGAATGTCCTTATCTTGCCATAAATAAGCAGCTTCCTTGGCACTCCAAATGGCTTCACTCTTCAGCTTCAGGATGCTGCGTAACCTCTCCCAGCAACAGCCAAAGGTTTCTTCAGCTCAAAACGAGCCATCAAGCTAAGCCAAAATGCAAAACTCAAAGCTTGCAAACTTAATGCCTTGTTATACGTAGGAGCTGATAACAGACCCAATTAACTTGTTGCAGATGTAACAGAAAAGGTTCTGTTCCTCCTTGTAACTTAGAAAAAGCCTGTTGTGAACCCCTAGTAGCAACTGGAATGTCCTTATCTTGGCATAAATAAGCAGCTTCCTTGGCACTCCAAATGGCTTCACTTTTCAGCTTCAGGATGCTGCGTAACCTCTCCCAGCAACAGCCAAAGGTTTCTTCAGCTCAAAACGAGCCATCAAGCTAAGCCAAAATGCAAAACTCAAAGCTTGCAAACTTAATGCCTTGTTATACGTAGGAGCTGATAACAGACCCAATTAACTTGTTGCAGATGTAACAGATAAGGTTCTGTTCCTCCTTGTAACTTAGAAAAAGCCTGTTGTGAACCCCTAGTAGCAACTGGAATGTCCTTATCTTGGCATAAATAAGCAGCTTCCTTGGCACTCCAAATGGCTTCACTCTTCAGCTTCAGGATGCTGCGTAACCTCTCCCAGCAACAGCCAAAGGTTTCTTCAGCTCAAAACGAGCCATCAAGCTAAGCCAAAATGCAAAACTCAAAGCTTGCAAACTTAATGCCTTGTTCTACGTAGGAGCTGATAACAGACCCAATTAACTTGTTGCAGATGTAACAGAAAAGGTTCTGTTCCTCCTTGTAACTTAGAAAAAGCCTGTTGTGAACCCCTAGTAGCAACTGGAATGTCCTTATCTTGGCATAAATAAGCAGCTTCTTTGGCACTCCAAATGGCTTCACTCTTCAGCTTCAGGATGCTGCGTAACCTCTCCCAGCAACAGCCAAAGGTTTCTTCAGCTCAAAACGAGCCATCAAGCTAAGCCAAAATGCAAAACTCAAAGCTTGCAAACTTAATGCCTTGTTATACGTAGGAGCTGATAACAGACCCAATTAACTTGTTGCAGATGTAACAGAAAAGGTTCTGTTCCTCCTTGTAACTTAGAAAAAGCCTGTTGTGAACCCCTAGTAGCAACTGGAATGTCCTTATCTTGGCATAAATAAGCAGCTTCCTTGGCACTCCAAATGGCTTCACTCTTCAGCTTCAGGATGCTGCGTAACCTCTCCCAGCAACAGCCAAAGGTTTCTTCAGCTCAAAACGAGCCATCAAGCTAAGCCAAAATGCAAAACTCAAAGCTTGCAAACTTAATGCCTTGTTATACGTAGGAGCTGATAACAGACCCAATTAACTTGTTGCAGATGTAACAGATAAGGTTCTGTTCCTCCTTGTAACTTAGAAAAAGCCTGTTGTGAACCCCTAGTAGCAACTGGAATGTCCTTATCTTGCCATAAATAAGCAGCTTCCTTGGCACTCCAAATGGCTTCACTTTTCAGCTTCAGGATGCTGCGTAACCTCTCCCAGCAACAGCCAAAGGTTTCTTCAGCTCAAAACGAGCCATCAAGCTAAGCCAAAATGCAAAACTCAAAGCTTGCAAACTTAATGCCTTGTTCTACGTAGGAGCTGATAACAGACCCAATTAACTTGTTGCAGATGTAACAGAAAAGGTTCTGTTCCTCCTTGTAACTTAGAAAAAGCCTGTTGTGAACCCCTAGTAGCAACTGGAATGTCCTTATCTTGGCATAAATAAGCAGCTTCCTTGGCACTCCAAATGGCTTCACTCTTCAGCTTCAGGATGCTGCGTAACCTCTCCCAGCAACAGCCAAAGGTTTCTTCAGCTCAAAACGAGCCATCAAGCTAAGCCAAAATGCAAAACTCAAAGCTTGCAAACTTAATGCCTTGTTATACGTAGGAGCTGATAACAGACCCAATTAACTTGTTGCAGATGTAACAGAAAAGGTTCTGTTCCTCCTTGTAACTTAGAAAAAGCCTGTTGTGAACCCCTAGTAGCAACTGGAATGTCCTTATCTTGGCATAAATAAGCAGCTTCTTTGGCACTCCAAATGGCTTCACTCTTCAGCTTCAGGATGCTGCGTAACCTCTCCCAGCAACAGCCAAAGGTTTCTTCAGCTCAAAACGAGCCATCAAGCTAAGCCAAAATGCAAAACTCAAAGCTTGCAAACTTAATGCCTTGTTATACGTAGGAGCTGATAACAGACCCAATTAACTTGTTGCAGATGTAACAGATAAGGTTCTGTTCCTCCTTGTAACTTAGAAAAAGCCTGTTGTGAACCCCTAGTAGCAACTGGAATGTCCTTATCTTGCCATAAATAAGCAGCTTCCTTGGCACTCCAAATGGCTTCACTTTTCAGCTTCAGGATGCTGCGTAACCTCTCCCAGCAACAGCCAAAGGTTTCTTCAGCTCAAAACGAGCCATCAAGCTAAGCCAAAATGCAAAACTCAAAGCTTGCAAACTTAATGCCTTGTTCTACGTAGGAGCTGATAACAGACCCAATTAACTTGTTGCAGATGTAACAGAAAAGGTTCTGTTCCTCCTTGTAACTTAGAAAAAGCCTGTTGTGAACCCCTAGTAGCAACTGGAATGTCCTTATCTTGGCATAAATAAGCAGCTTCCTTTGGCACTCCAAATGGCTTCACTCTTCAGCTTCAGGATGCTGCGTAACCTCTCCCAGCAACAGCCAAAGGTTTCTTCAGCTCAAAACGAGCCATCAAGCTAAGCCAAAATGCAAAACTCAAAGCTTGCAAACTTAATGCCTTGTTATACGTAGGAGCTGATAACAGACCCAATTAACTTGTTGCAGATGTAACAGAAAAGGTTCTGTTCCTCCTTGTAACTTAGAAAAAGCCTGTTGTGAACCCCTAGTAGCAACTGGAATGTCCTTATCTTGGCATAAATAAGCAGCTTCTTGGCACTCCAAATGGCTTCACTCTTCAGCTTCAGGATGCTGCGTAACCTCTCCCAGCAACAGCCAAAGGTTTCTTCAGCTCAAAACGAGCCATCAAGCTAAGCCAAAATGCAAAACTCAAAGCTTGCAAACTTAATGCCTTGTTATACGTAGGAGCTGATAACAGACCCAATTAACTTGTTGCAGATGTAACAGAAAAGGTTCTGTTCCTCCTTGTAACTTAGAAAAAGCCTGTTGTGAACCCCTAGTAGCAACTGGAATGTCCTTATCTTGGCATAAATAAGCAGCTTCCTTGGCACTCCAAATGGCTTCACTCTTCAGCTTCAGGATGCTGCGTAACCTCTCCCAGCAACAGCCAAAGGTTTCTTCAGCTCAAAACGAGCCATCAAGCTAAGCCAAAATGCAAAACTCAAAGCTTGCAAACTTAATGCCTTGTTATACGTAGGAGCTGATAACAGACCCAATTAACTTGTTGCAGATGTAACAGAAAAGGTTCTGTTCCTCCTTGTAACTTAGAAAAAGCCTGTTGTGAACCCCTAGTAGCAACTGGAATGTCCTTATCTTGCCATAAATAAGCAGTTTCCTTAGCACTCCAAATAGATTCAGTCTTCAGCTTCAGGATGCTGCATAACTGCTCCCAGCAACAGCCAAAGGTTTCTTCAGCTCAAACGAATCAAATGAAGCTAAGCCAAAATGCAAAACTCAAAGCTTGCAAACTTAACGCCTTGTTATTTATTTATTTGCTTTATTTCTATACCGCATTTTTCAGCCCAAACAGGCGACTCAATGCGGTTGTTATACTTAGGAGCTGATAACACACCCAATTAACTTGTTGCAGATGTAACAGAAAAGGTTCTGTTGCTCCTTGTAACTTAGAAAAAGCCTGTTGTGAACCCCTAGTAGCAACTGGAATGTCCTTATCTTGGCATAAATAAGCAGCTTCCTTGGCACTCCAAATGGCTTCACTCTTCAGCTTCAGGATGCTGCGTAACCTCTCCCAGCAACAGCCAAAGGTTTCTTCAGCTCAAAACGAGCCATCAAGCTAAGCCAAAATGCAAAACTCAAAGCTTGCAAACTTAATGCCTTGTTATACGTAGGAGCTGATAACAGACCCAATTAACTTGTTGCAGATGTAACAGAAAAGGTTCTGTTCCTCCTTGTAACTTAGAAAAAGCATGTTGTGAACCCCTAGTAGCAACTGGAATGTCCTTATCTTGGCATAAATAAGCAGCTTCTTTGGCACTCCAAATGGCTTCACTCTTCAGCTTCAGGATGCTGCGTAACCTCTCCCAGCAACAGCCAAAGGTTTCTTCAGCTCAAAATAAGCCATCAAGCTAAGCCAAAATGCAAAACTCAAAGCTTGCAAACTTAACGCCTTGTTATTTATTTATTTGCTTTATTTCTATACCGCATTTTTCAGCCCAAACAGGCGACTCAATGCGGTTGTTATACTTAGGAGCTGATAACACACCCAATTAACTTGTTGCAGATGTAACAGAAAAGGTTCTGTTGCTCCTTGTAACTTAGAAAAAGCCTGTTGTGAACCCCTAGTAGCAACTGGAATGTCCTTATCTTGGCATAAATAAGCATCTTCTTTGGTACTCCATATGACTTCACTCTTCAGCTTCAGGATGCTGCGTAACCTCTCCCAGCAACAGCCAAATGTTTCTTCAGCTCAAAACGAGCCATCAAGCTAAGCCAAAATGCAAAACTCAAAGCTTGCAAACTTAATGCCTTGTTATACGTAGGAGCTGATAACAGACCCAATTAACTTGTTGCAGATGTAACAGAAAAGGTTCTGTTCCTCCTTGTAACTTAGAAAAAGCCTGTTGTGAACCCCTAGTAGCAACTGGAATGTCCTTATCTTGCCATAAATAAGCAGCTTCCTTGGCACTCCAAATGGCTTCACTTTTCAGCTTCAGGATGCTGCGTAACCTCTCCCAGCAACAGCCAAAGGTTTCTTCAGCTCAAAACGAGCCATCAAGCTAAGCCAAAATGCAAAACTCAAAGCTTGCAAACTTAATGCCTTGTTCTACGTAGGAGCTGATAACAGACCCAATTAACTTGTTGCAGATGTAACAGAAAAGGTTCTGTTCCTCCTTGTAACTTAGAAAAAGCCTGTTGTGAACCCCTAGTAGCAACTGGAATGTCCTTATCTTGGCATAAATAAGCAGCTTCCTTGGCACTCCAAATGGCTTCACTCTTCAGCTTCAGGATGCTGCGTAACCTCTCCCAGCAACAGCCAAAGGTTTCTTCAGCTCAAAACGAGCCATCAAGCTAAGCCAAAATGCAAAACTCAAAGCTTGCAAACTTAATGCCTTGTTATACGTAGGAGCTGATAACAGACCCAATTAACTTGTTGCAGATGTAACAGAAAAGGTTCTGTTCCTCCTTGTAACTTAGAAAAAGCCTGTTGTGAACCCCTAGTAGCAACTGGAATGTCCTTATCTTGGCATAAATAAGCAGCTTCTTTGGCACTCCAAATGGCTTCACTCTTCAGCTTCAGGATGCTGCGTAACCTCTCCCAGCAACAGCCAAAGGTTTCTTCAGCTCAAAATGAGCCATCAAGCTAAGCCAAAATGCAAAACTCAAAGCTTGCAAACTTAACGCCTTGTTATTTATTTATTTGCTTTATTTCTATACCGCATTTTTCAGCCCAAACAGGCGACTCAATGCGGTTGTTATACTTAGGAGCTGATAACACACCCAATTAACTTGTTGCAGATGTAACAGAAAAGGTTCTGTTGCTCCTTGTAACTTAGAAAAAGCCTGTTGTGAACCCCTAGTAGCAACTGGAATGTCCTTATCTTGGCATAAATAAGCATCTTCTTTGGTACTCCATATGACTTCACTCTTCAGCTTCAGGATGCTGCGTAACCTCTCCCAGCAACAGCCAAATGTTTCTTCAGCTCAAAACGAGCCATCAAGCTAAGCCAAAATGCAAAACTCAAAGCTTGCAAACTTAATGCCTTGTTATACGTAGGAGCTGATAACAGACCCAATTAACTTGTTGCAGATGTAACAGATAAGGTTCTGTTCCTCCTTGTAACTTAGAAAAAGCCTGTTGTAAACTCCTAGTATCAACAGGAAAGGGCGAGGTGGAGGGGGAGCATCCCCTGTACATTTGGTGGGGTCACCCTAAGGAATTGGCCTAGTTGCACCGGAACCAAAGCTTAATTATGATGGACAGGAGGCCTGCCCTATGACTGCAAACAGATAACAGAAAGGAAAAGAAGTTGGAGCTCCTGGTACAGCCGTACCAGCACAAAACTACTTGTTCTTTCCTGTTTAAAATGTTGACCATTTCCTCTCCCTTGGCAGCCACCACTCCACAAAAGTCAACATTGACACTGAAATACAACACCCTTCAACAAAGTCAACAATAAGGTGGCCGCTTCCCCTTCTCACCGGAGTGATGACGGTCAGGTCTGGGAGGTGGCTGCCCCCGGCACAGGGGTGGTTGCTCAGGATTACGTCCCCCTCCTGGATCTCCGGGCCCAGGTTCCGGATCTATAGGGGGAGAAGTATCATAATACAGGGGGAGTAAAGGAGGAGGAGAAGCCTGGGGCCGCAAGGGCAAAGGGAACACAAAGGTCCTGACCTTGCAAACCCATAATAATAATAATAATAATAATAATAATAATAATAATAATAATAATACCTGTTCAATGCATGGTTCTAAATGGTTCTAAAGTACTTACAAAACTAAAGTCGTGGTGGTGAAAATTTCAGAACTCTAACAACACTTTCAAAATTTAATTATGATTTCATTGTATTGTCGAAGGCTTCCATGGCTGGAATCACTGGGTTGTTGTAGGTTTTTTCGGGCTATATGGCCATGTTCTAGAGGCATTATCTCCTGACGTTTCGCCTGCATCTATGGCAAGCATCTTCACAGGTAAGTGAGGTCTGTTGGAACTAGGAAAAGGGGTTTATATATCTGTGGAATGACCAGGGTGGGACAAAGGACTCTTGTCTGCTGGAGCTAGGCGTGAATGTTTCAACTGACCACCTTGATTAGCATTTGATTGCCTGGCAGTGCCTGGGGCAAATTTTTGTTGAGAGGTGATTAGATGTCCTTGTTTGTTTCCTCTCTGTTGTTGTGCTGTTGTAATTTTAGAGTTTTTTTTAATACTGGTAGCCAGATTTTGTTCATTTTCAGGGTCTGATGAGCTTTGGAGTTGTAGTTCAGTTGCATCCAGAGAGGACTGTGGACTAAAACAATGATAGATCTGGACCAAACTTAGCAGAAATACTCAATATGCCCAAATGTGAACACTGGTGGAGTTTGGGGAAAATAGACCTTCCTTCCTTTTCTCTTTCCCTCCTTCCTTCCTTCCCTTCCTTTCCCCTTTCATTATGATTTCATTGTTGGCAATTTTTATGACAGAACCAATTAGGAACTGCCATTTCTAATGAAATTTTGAGAGTTTTGTTAGAGTTCTGAAATTTTCACCACCAGAACTTTAGTTTTGTAAGTATTTTAGAACCATTTAGAACCATGCATTGAACAGACCTAATCATCATCATCATCACCATCATCACAGTCCAGGTGCCCATGCCTTTCACCAAATCCTGGGTATAACAACAACAACAACAACAACAACAACAACAGTGCAGGAGCCCATGCCTTTCACCAAGTTTCTGTGTATCGTCGTTGTCGTCATCATCATTATCATTGTCTTTATTTGTATCCCGCTCCCTCTCCCAGAAGGGACTCGAGGCAGCTTACCAGAAAAATCCAATAGACATAGTAATAATGGCAACCAAAAACAAAATTTGGCAACAGGGAAAGGCTTCTTATTGCCACCTAGTGACTGTTTTAGATATTTACATGAATCTGCCGAGCTGTTGCACCTCAGACTAGATTCACCTTGCTCAAAACACCAAATTGCACACAGCCAGAAGTCTTTATAGTTTATTAAAAATAAAAGGTAAAAAGTTCTTAAAAGCAAAGGTAATGTTCCAAAAGATCAATACAAAATAACACTTTGAAACTTGATCCAAAAAGGCACCAGCAAAGCAAAATCCCATCAGAACATGACTAAGTCCTGAAACCATGAACACAAGAACTGCAAGACAATCCAGACAAGCAAAGGCAAGCTTCTTGGTTAAACGAAAAGTTGCTTTGACAAAGGTTTGGCTCCAAACACACTGCTTAATATCCTTTGCAAAACATGAAGGCGTTTCTTTGACCTCTGGCCTCCTTCTTGTTAGCTATTCTCACACTCCTTCGAACTCTGAATTCCAAACGGTCAACCCGATCTAAGGTTCCCGTTTCGTCAAGATTGACGAAACATTCACACCTAGCTCCAGCAGACAGGAGTCCTTTGTTCCATCTTTGTCATTCCACAGATATATCAACCCTTTTTCCTAGTTCCAACAGACCTCACTACCCCTGAGGATGCTTGCCATAGATGCAGGCGAAACGTCAGGAGAGAATGCCTCTAGAACATGGCCATATAGCCCGAAAAAACCTACAACAACCCGAAAATCTTATAGTTGTTTTGCAATGAGATGGGTCAGTAGTTTTTAATTTCTGTGGAAGCGATATTTTCTTTATGGATTAATGTTATGTTGGCCATTTCCCAGGATTTAGGAAGTTCTTCATTTTCTAGTATATTATTAAGTATATCTTTTAGTAGTGGACCTAATTCATTTTTGAAGGTCTTGTAAAAAAAATTGCAGTATACCCATCTGGGCCTGATGCCTTATTATTTTTCAATTTAGAAATTGCATTGTCGATTTTGAACATTGTCATTGGGCCATTCAGTATTTCTCTTTGGGTGTCAGTTAATTTAGTTAGGTTTAGATTGCAAAGGTGTTTTGTGCCGTCACACCCAGACCCTATAAAAATAAAACTAAGATGTGCTTCTCTCTTTGTCTGGGCGGACCGCGGGGGTCTTTCTTTAGAAGCTTGAGATTCCCAGCAACTGAGGCTACTACAGGCTTGGAACATCAAAACAGAATATTTATTTCTCAAAGTCCTTGCAGGCTTGGCACAGCTTGTCAAAGTTACAAATAGTCAATTGATGAAGCAATAGAAATGATCTGCCTTTCTTTTCCTTGATTTACTGAGGCAAATTTTCTCCAAAAGGCAGAAGAAGTTCCTGGGACCTTTTCACCCTAACCCTGAGCAGCTATGGTTAGAAAAAAGCAGTTTTTTTTCCCTCTCTATAGCTCAAGGTCACATCATGAGGAGACAGGAAAGCCTAGAGAAGACAATTATGCTGGGGAAAGTGGAAGGCAAAAGGAAGAGGGGCCGACCAAGGGCAAGATGGATGGATGGCATCCTTGAAGTGACTGGACTGACCTTGAGGGAGCTGGGGGTGGTAACGGCCGACAGGGAGCTCTGGCGTGGGCTGGTCCATGAGGTCACGAAGAGTCGGAGACGACTGAACGAATGAACAACAACAACATAGCTCAAGGTTAGCTTTGGAGATGAAATAATGCTCAATATATAACTCAGTATCTATCCTATCTATCTCTATAGTACTCAATAGCTTCTCTATCTAAATCTCAATATGCTTCTATATAACTCAATTAACTATTTCTCAATACTAAATGTATTTATTTCTCAATCTAATTAACTCACTCTTTCTACCTATTTCTCAATAGTTCTTATAATGGTTTTCTCAGAGTACCTGCCTGGCCAACAGCACATCTGAAGCTTTCTTTCTCAACTGAAGGAGGCAGGGGAGATTCCAAAATTGCTCAATTACTCAATTGCTATTCTATCTATCTATCTATCTCAATTAGCTTCTTTATCTATATAACTCGATATCAATCTTTCTACCTATAACTCAATTAATATCTATATCTCAATCATAGAATCAAAGAGTTGGAAGAGACCTCATGGGCCATCCAGTCCAACCCCATTCTGCCAAGAAGCAGGAATATTGCATTCAAATCACCCCTGACAGATGGCCATCCAGCCCCTGTTTAAAAGCTTCCAAAGAAGGAGCCTCCACCACACTCTGGGGCAGAGAGTTCCACTGCTGAACGGCTCTCACAGTCAGGAAGTTCTTCCTAATGTTCAGATGGAATCTCCTCTCTTGTAGTTTGAAGCCATTGTTCCGCGTCCTAGTCTCCAAGGAAGCAGAAAACAAGCTTGCTCCCTCCTCCTCCCTTTGGCTTCCTCTCACATATTTATACATGGCTATCATATCTCCTCTCAGCCTTCTCTTCTTCAGGCTAAACATGCCCAGCTCCTTAAGCTGCTCCTCATGGGGCTTGTTCTCCAGACCCTAGTCTCCAGGGAAGCAGAAAACAAGCTTGCTCCCTCCTCTTCCCTGTGGCTTCCTCTCACATATCTATACATGGCCCTCATCATGTCTCCTCTCAGCCTTCTCTTCTTCAGGCTAAACATGCCCAGCTCCCCAAGCCGCTCCTCATAGGGCTTGTTCTCCAGACCCTTGATCATTTTAGTCGCCCTCCTCTGGACACATTCCAGCTTGTCAATATCAGACCCAATATTACTCAATCGCTCAATTGCTATTCTATCTATCTATCTTAATTGTTCTTACAATGGTTTTTTCAGAGTTACCTGCCTGACCAACACCACATCTGAAGCTTTCTTCTCTACTGAAGGAGGCAGGGGAGATTCCAAAATGGAGATCTCAACCCAGGAAAAAAGGCGGTCCCTAGACCCAAAGAGATACTTTTCTAAACCAATAGCTGCAAAAGGAGCTGGGGGTGGTGACGGCCGACAGGGAGCTCTGGCGTGGACTGGTCCATGAGGTCACGAAGAGTCGGAGACGACTGAACGAATGAACAACAACAAGCTGCAGGCTGGCTTTGCAGACTCTGATTCTGTTTAACTTCCAGGGTGCTGCTGGTCTGTAGCAGCCCTGGGGAAATGCAAAAGAACACTATCCCATGCAACTAAAAGGTAAGGCAAACGGAACATGTTTCATTGTTTGTTCTTTTTTAAAATACCCAAAGGCCAGTCTCCATTTTCTAGTGAACTCTTCATTATTTGCTCCCCTTAAGCCATTGGAGAGCTTCGCCATTTGAATATACTGGGCTAATTGTTGGATGGGGCCGCACTCCCCCTGAAGACGCAGGTTCGCAGCTTGGGTGTGACCCTGGACTCATCGCAGAGCCTGGAACCCCAGGTTTCGGCGGTGATCAGGGGAGCATTTGCACAGCTAAAGCTTGTGCGCCAGCTGCGCCCGTACCTTGGGAAGTCTGACTTGGCCACGGTAGTCCACGCTCTGGTTACATCCCGTTTAGACTACTGCAACGCTCTCTACGTGGGGTTGCCTTTGAAGACAGCTCGGAAGCTCCAACTAGTCCAACGCTCGGCAGCCATGATTTTAACAGGAGCGGGGCGCAGGGAGCATACAACCCCCCTGTTGCGCCAACTCCACTGGCTACCGATCTGCTACCGGGCTCAATTCAAAGTGCTGGCGTTGGCCTTTAAAGCCCTAAACGGTTCCGGCCCAAGCTACCTATCCGACCGCATCTCTGCCTATGAACCCACCAGGACTTTGAGATCTTCCGGGGAGACCCTGCTCTCGATCCCGCCTGCTTCTCAAGCTCGACGAGAGATAGGGCCTTCTCGGTGGTGGCTCCTCGGCTGTGGAACGCCCTTCCTACGGACATTAGACTAGCACATCTCTAATGGTATTCCGCAAAAAGGTGAAGACCTGGCTGTTTGTGCAGGCGTTTGAGTAATTTAGTGCAATCTGGTAATGGAACATAGGAATGGAACAATGGACGACGAACCTGGACTACGCTTGGATGATGAGAAGATTGGGTACGGTTGTTTTTTGTAATAATTGTGCATTGTAATTGCTTATTGGTAATTTATGGATAATGTGTTAAGTCAATTGTTATATGTTGTATGGAACCACTGCTGTTTCTACTGTTTTTACTGTTTGTGAACCGCTGTGAGTCGCCTTCGGGCTTGAGATACAGCCGTATAGAAGCAAAGTAAATAAATAATTTTCTTCTCCAACCACCAAGCATGGAAGAAGGTGCCTTTTCGCATTTTGCATCTCCAACCTCCTTCCCAAAGAGTTTTATCGTTTTCAGCCATTAAGTCAGGAGTTACATAACTTCTTTTAGAACAGTTCCCTACCTGGAACTGGATGGTCTCCTGCATGGCGCCCAGGTGGACCGGGATGTGGGGGGCGTTGGAGACCAGGCCCCCGCCCGGCCCAAAGAGCGCGCAGGAGAAGTCCAGGCGCTCCTTGATGTTGGTGGAGATGGCCGTGCGCTGGAGGACGCGCCCCATCTGCTCTGGAGAGGAAGGAACCAAAAGGGCTTCATCAGGATCCATGGGAGGCACACCGTTGGCGATGGTGACCTCTCGTGCCTTGATGAGCCTCATCTATACTTATCGAGACACAAGACTCTTCCAGCGTTGGAAAATTCTGAAGCTTTAGATTCAGTCAGAACAAACCTTATACCTCTGGGTGTTTGGACTTCCACAACTCCTGAAAGCCAGGAGGCTGTTAGGAATTGTGGGAGTTGAAATCGAAAACACTCCGAGGGCCAAAGTTTGCTCATGGCTGCTTTAGAAGTTCTGGAATGTACCTCGTAGCAGCCATACCCTACAAAACGTATCAATTTGATGCTTTTGTATAACTTGTATCTTTTATATACTGTGTATAAACTGTATTGTCGAAGGTTTTCATGGCCGGAATCACTGGGTTGTTGTAGGTTTTTTCGGGCTGTATGGCCACGGTATAGAGGCATTCTCTCCTAACATTTCGCCTGCATCTATGGCAAGCATCCTCAGAAGTAGTGAGATCTGGGGAATGCTGGGGCGGCGGGCACACAGAGCCCCCATGACCCACTCCACATCCTACTTCAATTTGGAAGAGGGCAAACCATGGATGATGGGACTTGAAGTACCTCCACTCACTTCCCGAGACCGCTGCAACCCTCATCCAATGACCAATCAAGACCAAACTTGGCACACGTAACCCCCGCCTCCCCAGCATTCCCCAGGCCTCACTACCTCTGAGGACGCTTGCCACAGATGCAGGCAAAACATCAGGAGAGAATGCCTCTAGACCATGGCCATACAGCCCGAAAAAACCTACAACAACCCTGTGTATAAACTGTTTGTAATATATCTATGTAACCTGATGGTAGCCACCTCTTCCTGGCTCCTGTTTGCATAATTCCTTGGGAAAGGAGACTGTAGCTAGGATCCCTCCAGCCATTTCCCAAGCCAGGTAACTATCAGACCCCTTGTAGAATCATAGAATCCTAGAGTTGGAGGAGACCTGGTGGGCCATCATCCAGTCTAACCCCATTCTGCAAAGAAGCAGCAGGAAAATCACCTTCAAAGCACCCCCGACAGATGGCCATCTAGCCTCTACTTAAAAGCCTTCAAAGAAGGAGCCTCTACCACACTTTGGGGCAGAGAGTTCCACTGCTGAACAGCTCTAACAGTCAGAAAGTTCTTCCTAATGCTCAGGTGGAATCTCCTTTCCGGATAGTGATCTATAGTACATTTTTTCTTTAAGGCATCCTTTCATAGAATCATAGAATCAAAGAGTTGGAAGAGACCTCATGGGCCATCCAGTCCAACCCCATTCTGCCAAGAAGCAGGAATATTGCATATTGACACATAGTCATAAGGTCTCTGCCTTCTCTTCTGAGAATTAAACAAACCCAGCTTTTTAAGCCACTCCTCATAGGGATTATTCATGGTCTCTGGACCTTTGATCATTTTATTTGCCCTCTTCCTCTAGATACCTTCCAGCTTCTGGTGGAAGGTATCTCGTGGTGCCCAACATTGGATATGGGTTTATTATTGCAGGTAGAGAGGGCTGACCAAAGCAGAACAGAGAAGCACCATGACTTCCCTCGATCTGGACACTAGACTCCTTTGGATGCAGCCCAGAATCCCTTTAGATGGAGCATCACACTCTTGGCTCATGTTCAACATACTGTAGAACACATATGTATCTGAGAACACATATGTTGTGTCCAGGTTGGTTCATCAGATGCTCTGCTATGGATTCCAATATCTTTTTCACATGTTCTGTTTTTGAGCCAGGTGCCACCCACTCTGTATCTATCATGAAAATATCTTTGCAGATGTCATAAATGTGAATTTAATATGATGTGTGGGAATAAATGGAAGGATGCATGAGTGGAGTTAATAATTTTGGAAACACCAATTCTAATTTTGGAAACACCAGCAAAAGACCCAGGCCTGCAATGACTAACTACCTGCTTGGTGGACTGTAATTAAAAGTTGCAAATAAGAACTGGAAAGTAAACTCTGGTAAGAACTGGGACAGTGATAACAGAAATGTTTACAATGTTAAGAAGGATGTCAACATAAGATCAACACCAATCAAGAAGAATCAACATCTGGCCAGGAAACTGAGATGGAGCCAGGATGGAAGACGTCTATCATTAATTTACAACATTGGGACGACATCAGCAGAATCTCTCTCTATAAAAACCTACAACAACCCAGTGATTCCGACCATGAAAGCCTTCGACAATATATAAAAATGCTCTGTGCATAATGAGTACCTTAAAAACAAAAGAACCAATGAACGAAATCACACAAAATTTGGCAACAAAATGTCTCACAACACAAGGAGTGACCATCACTCAAAAAAGGATGGTTTTGTTATTTGGGATTTATAGTTCACTTATAATCAGAGCATTCTGAACTCCACCAACGATGGAATTGAACCAAACTTGGCACACAGGACTCCCCTGACCAACAGAAAACACTAGAAGGGTTTGGTGGGCATTGACCTTGATTTTGGGAGTTGTAGTTCACCTACATCTAGAGAGCACTGTGGACGCAAACAATGATGGATCTGGACCAAACTTGGCACGAATACTCAATATGCCCAAATATGAGCACAGATGGAGTTTGGGGGAAATAGACCCTGACATTTGTGAGTTGTAGTTACTGGGATTTATAGTTCACCTACAATCAAAGAGCATTCTGAACCTCACCAGTGACAGAACTGGGGCAAACTTCCCACACAGAGCCCCCATGACCATCAGAAAATACTTAAGGCCACCCAGTCCAACTCCCTTCTTCACCAGGGCAAGAAAACGTAATCAAAGCCCTCCTGACAAAGAGCCATCCAGCCATAGATATAGATAGATAGATAGATAGATAGATAGATAGATAGATAGATATGATTCACACACAGAGAGATATAGTATCATAGATTTGAAAGGGACCCTTAAAGAAGGACAATTATGTGTTGTGTGTTCCAGAGTAGGCAAACTAAACAATCTCCACATCAACACTGACAAAGAATTAGCAATAAATACTGTTTACCCACAAACAGAAAGACATTACATACATTACAAACCAACACTTTCTCATTACTTTATATTCCACATCACCAGACTGGGCCACAGCAACTCGTGGCAGGGGGGCAGCTAGTATTCCTATAAAAGACTCGATCTAATAATGCTCAAAGTGTGCCCAACCAGCTCTCAAATCCGTTGAGGTCACTTTGAATTCTGATTCTGCCCCCTGAAGTCTTCGCTCTCCCTCCCAATTTGGTGTCATCTGCAAACTTGATCATGATGTATTACCTCGTGGCTCAAGGCAGGTACAGTGTGGAGATGAGGAAACCACCTGAGCCAACCAACGCAGAGAGCGACCCCCCCCCCCACACACACACACACACACTCGACTCCCGATCTCACCTGCAATGCTCATGAAGCGGTGGGAGAAGATGGAGAGCTGGATGGGGTCCACCTGAGGCCCCACTGCCCACTGGGCCCCAGAGCCCACCTCAATGCAGATGTCCCCACGGCGAGTGATGGAAGCCCTGCAGCCGGGCTCCACCAGGATGGTGCTGAAGGAAGGGCAAAAGAAGGTCAAGAAGGGGTCAATGGGGACACTCCACCCCATTCACTGGATCCCCCCCCCTTACAGTCCCTGCTCCTCACCTGTTCTTGTCGATGAGGAGGCTGGGCCCCGGGACGGAGTGGCCCCAGGTGAGGCCCTCCAGCAGGTAGACCCCCGTCTCCAGGTAGCCCCCCTCGAAGTAGCAGCGAGTCACCTGCGGTGGAAGTTTGCGTAGAGGAAAAAAGAGAGGGAAGAAAGAGAGCAATCTATAGTAAATTTTGTACACAGAAATACTAACCTACTCACAAACAGATGGATTCAATTGCCATTATAAGATAAAGTTTGACAATGAACTGAACTGGAAAAGAGAGTGAAAAGAAATAAGTTCTTCTGGATTGTTCTTCTGGATTGTTCCTTTTAAAGAAGGAAAAAGGAGAATTCCGCAGATATATAAACCCAATTTTCCTAGTTCCAACAGACCTCACTCCCTCTGAGGATGCTTGCCATAGATGCAGGTGAAACATCAGGAGAGAATGCCTCTAGAACATGGCCATACAGCCCCAAAAAAAACCTACCAACTAAAACTAACTAGACTCCTCTGGGCGCACAGAGACTCACACTGGTTTTTCAGCTGTTGCATCACACTCCTGACTCAAGTTCAGCTTGCGGTCTCCTAAGACTCCTAGATCCCTTTTGCATGGACTGTTTACAAGTGTCAGGCAGGATATTCAATGAATCAGTGTATGCCTCAATGGGAGATCCCTACTGTTTCCATGCGGGGTGGTCCTTTGCTGGCCGGCACAGGCTCCTCCTGCCCCAGCCCGGAACTGGCGGTGCCCCGGACCCTGATGTCATCCACCAAAATGGCCCGGTTGGGAATGGTGAAGCCGAATTCCTGCTGGTACCTGGTGGACATACAGAGCAGAGGAGATGGGTTATGTTGTTGCTTCCATCATGCAAGACCCAAGGAAGGAGGTCAAGGTTAGGGGGGTGGAGTGACCATGCCTGCGGACCTACTTGGCAGCAAAGGCAGCCCCAAAGTCCCCTCGTCGACAGGACCCCAGAGTGGGCGGGTGGCCCCTGGCGGAGCACATGAGGGCACAGTCCGTCCGCTCGTAGCGCAGGTGCAGGAAGGTCTCCGTGCCGATCTGGGACCTGGGGTGGGAGGAAATTATTGATTATTGGTGGCATTATAGGCCAGGAAAATAATTCCAATGCCATGTACTAGATAGAATTAGTAACAGAAGAGTTGAATTACTCAGGGCATGTCCAGATGACATGTCCAGCCAGATGAATGCAATATTCGAAGGTGTCACCACAGATAGGAAACCTCATAGGAAACCTGCTACAAAACAGGAGCTTTTTTGTTGAGTTCCAGGGCCAGAGAAGCAGATGGCGGAAACAGAAGAACGGCCTGCCTCAGGGGAGCGTGCTTGCTCCATCCATGTTCAACATCTACACAAATGACCAGCCACTGCCAGAAGGGACAGAGAGGTTCATCTATGCTGATGATTGTGCCATCACCGCCCAAACAGGGAGCTTTGAGACTGTAGAACAGAAGCTCTCCGAAGCTCTAGGTGCTCTTACTGCCTATTACAGGGAAAACCAGCTGATCCCTAATCCATCTAAAACACAGACATGTGCTTTTCATCTCAAGAACAGAGAAGAATCCCGAGCTCTGAGGATCATTACCTGGGAAGGAATCCCCCCGGAGCATTGCAACGCACCCAAGTACCTGGGAGTCACTCTGGACCGTGCTCTGACCTACAAGAAGCACTGCCTGAACATCAAGCAAAAAGTGAGTGCCAGAAACAATATCATACGAAAGCTGACTGGCACAACCTGGGAATCACAACCAGACACAGTGAAGACATCTGCCCTTGCGCTATGCTACTCTGCTGCTGAGTCTGCATGCCCAGTGTGGAACACATTTCACCACGCTAAAACAGTAGATGTGGCTCTTAATGAGACACGGAGTGTCTGCGCCCTACACCACTGGAGAAATTACACTGCTTAGCTGGTATTGCACCACCTGACATCCGCCGGGAAGTTGCAGCCAATAGACAAAGGACCAAGGCAGAGACATCTCCGGCTCATCCCGTTTGGGTATCAGCCAGCACGTCAACGACTTAAATCAAGACATAGTTTTCTAAGATCTACAGAGACACTCGCTGGAACACCTCAGCAAGCGGGAGTCCAAAAGTGGCAGGCTCAAACCCAGAACCTCAATCAATGGCTGATACCAAATGAGAGACTCACTCCTGGCAACTTGGAAGGCGCTGAACAGACTGCGCTCTAGCACCACGAGATGCAGAGCCAACCTCAAGAAATGGGGCCACAAAGTGGAGTCCACGACATGCGAGTGCGGAGAAGAGCCAACCACTGACCACCTGCTGCAATGCCACCTGAGCCCTGCCAAATGCACAATGGAGGACCTCCTTGCGGCAACACCAGAGGCACTCCAAGGGGCCAGAGACTGGTCAAAGGACAACTACCAAGCTTGCAAACTTTGTGCTTTGTTTGTTTGTTTGTTAAAAAAATGCAATTGCTCCTGACACAATAAATAAATAAGCAACGAAGGGCAATTTATTTATTTATTGTATCAGAAGCAAATAAGGTACAGTTGTAATGTGTTTAGAAAGCACAACATTTTAAAAGTTGACATTCTATTAAATGTCCTTTGACCAGGAGCTGGCCACTTGGAGTGGCTCTGCTGTTGCTATAAGAAGGTCCTCCGTTGTGCACGTGGTAGGGCTCTCTTTGACATTTTGAAGTCAGCAGAGGGTGCTGGAAACCATGTTATGGAACTTGTGAAGTAACAAGTTCTAATAAGGAAACTGAGAAGAGGGGGAGATTATTATTATTATTATTATTATCTTTATTTGTACCCCGCTAGCCTCTCCCGAAGGACTCGATGCGGCTTACAAAGGCCAAGGCCTCAACACAACAACAACAGACAATAACAATACGATGCAAAGCAAATTAAAAACATAAGCAATAACAACAACAAAACATTACACTATTACGCAATAAAAACAGGGCCGGGCCAATGAAGGGTACAGGTTAAAAGTGCTGGGTGTAAGAGGTGATATGTTGGGATTCTGGGCAAGTGCAATGTGCAGGGAGTCTTAAACTCAATAAAGTGCTTCTGGGACGTAGTGCTGGGGTTTATCCTATTCTGGAAAGGCACGTCGGAATAGCCAGGTCTTCAAGTTCTTCCTAAAGACTGCCAGCGTGGATGCTAGTCTAATGTCTTTGGGGAGGGAGTTCCAAAGTCGGGGGGCAACCACAGAGAAGCCCTGTCCCTCGTCCCCACCAAACGCGCCTTCGACGCAGGTTGGATCGCGAACAGGGCCTCTCCAGATGAATGGAGGGAGCGTGTGGGTTCGTATATGGAGATGTGGTCACGCAGGTAGGCAGGTCCCAAACTGTTTAGGGCTTTGTAGGTAAGCACCTGCACCTTGAATTGGGCTCGGTAGGTAAACGGCAGCCAGCGGAGCTGTACAGAAGTGTTTATAATAATATGCTTATAACTGTATTTATGTTTGTATTGGTTGCCCTTAGGCTGGAGCGGCCTAGCTGTTAGGAATGTGTTACCATGGAAACGAGGCAGAAGAGGAGGTGGGAGGAGCTTAGAGAGTTAAGGTTTTTGAAAAGTGACAGTTAGAGTCAGTCAGGGTTTTAGGCTCAGGGAAGAGCAGGTCAGGATTGAGACTCTGAGAAGTGAAGAGTCAGGTTTCAGTGTTCGTGAATAGTAGAGATTTCTTCAGTTAGGAAGCTGAAGGGGAAAACCTTGTTAGTTGCTTTAGTTAGAAAGAACTAACAGAGGCTTGTTAAGATCGCTAGTCGGGAGAAGACTAGAGATCTGTCGTTTGATCAAGGATAGATCAAACAGGGAGACTATTCACTGCAGGGAACACTGGTTAATAAAGTGCTTCACCACAGCAAGAGTTCATAAGTTGTAACATCGAAAGTCTGAATTGTATCGCAACCAAGTTACATGTAACCTTCAATTATTTGCCAAGCTTAACATCATCATACTGCAACCATACGCTTTGTTTAAAAATAAACTTGTTCTCTTTGGTTTTTGAAACTGCCTCATCTCCATTAATTCTACGTTCGTGTACCCAATCTCCCAAAATTACCTCACAACACAAACAGGGTGGCATCCAGTGGTATTAATACCAGAGCCTTTTACAAATCGGTGGCTCCTCTCTCCTAAACCTAAGGGTCTTCCTCACTAATTGCTGGCGATCTTTTACCACCTGGTAGCCGTCTCTTTACAGGAGCTCCTTAAACAGATGGGCAAAAATGGTGTATAAAAGGAAGTGGTAGTGGGGAAAAGTCAGTAGTGTCTTTCTTTGCTGCAGAGATACAAGCAATATATCCATTTCAAAGCAAAACCGGCTTGTGAGTGGTCATTTAATATTGCTATATAGATCCTACAGACTGACAGCTGTGGAATTAATGCAATTTGCAATGGCTCAATGATATGGCATACTGGGAGTTGTAATTCTAAAAGTTCTTTAGCCTTCTCTGCCAAAGAGTGCTGGTGCATTGCATTGTACACTTCTTGAAATGAATTAAGAATGATGCATTAATTATTATCCACTCCTGAGATCTGCCGCTAACTCCATTATTTATTTATTTATTTACCTTACTTCTATACGGCTGTTCTCAGCCCGAAGGCGACTCACAGCGGTTCACAACAAATACGAACAGCAAAAATTCAGTGCTACAGTATAAAAGCAGTTAACAACCTAACACATTACACAATTAATAAACAGTTACTACAATACCCATTCACTGTCGTCTCGTCATCAAAAACATGTTCCAGATTCGTCATCCATTGTTCCATTCCAGTGTTCATTAACCAATCATTGCACTAATTATTCGAACGCCTGCTCAAACAGCCAGGTCTTCACTTTTTTGCGGAATACCATTAGAGATGGTGCTAGTCTAATGTCTGTAGGAAGGGCATTCCACAGCCGAGGAGCCACCACCGAGAAGGCCCTATCTCTCGTCCCCGCCAGCCATCATCTCACCTTGCTCTGGTCTCTGGTATCTTCAGCCCCCTTTGAACTCTCAAAGTCTTCTGTAGGTAGTCCCTCTGCAGAGATTGACTGCTTGGTGTCAGTTCTGCCCTCCCTCCCTTACTTGTGCCTGACTGGTAAGGTGTCCCTGGAACTGCCACTTTCCCTCTTGGGACCCACCTGGCAAAGCCCTGGGCCTCCAGTTCCTTCAGGCAGACCTCCTCCAAGGCAGCAATCCGCTGGTCCAGCTGGTCAAAGGCCTCGGGGGTGTAGGCAAGAGCGCAGGGCTCCTGGGCCTCATGGACCACGTCCGCCAGTGCCAGGCCATATGCCGAGAGGATCCCACTGTACCTGCAGGAAGGGGGGGGGACGAGGATGGAGAAGCACCTACGCTTGGACATGTGGAGCATTCAGGGACGGAGGAAACTACGTCATGCTTCAAGAAGGCAGGGGTTTTGCCCAAACCAAAGCGGCCAAAGAGCCCCCTCCCCAGAAGACCCTGCCTTGCTTCCCACAGAACACAGCGACTACAGGAAGGGGCTGGGTCTTCTCCATCTGTCCCTCAACTTACCCTTTCTTCTGCTGGTCCTCCTGTTTTCTAGAGACCCACCCCTGTTTTGGACCCACTAGTCCAGTGTTTCTCAACCTGGGGGTCGGGACCCCTGGGGGGGGTCGCGATGGGGTGTTGGAGGGGTCGCCTAAGACCATCAGGATACACAGTATTTTCTGCTGGTCATGGGAGTTCTGTGTGGGAAGTCTGGCCCAATTCTATTGTTGGTGGGCTTCAAAATATATACATTAGGGCTGGGCGGTTTCGTTTCGTTAATTCGTAATTCGTTAATAATTCGTTATTTTTTTTTCAATTACAAAACGATAACGAACCATTCTGGAGCAATTTTTTTAAAAAACGAATTTTTAAACACGTTTTGTAAATGCTTCGTATTTCATTATTGTATTCGTTTCGTTATTGTTCTGAGGTCGTTTCGTTATTATTTCCGCATGTCTGGGGCAAGTTTTTTGTTTAATTAGTGAAAAAAAATTATAATATCACACCAACAGTCAACAACAGAGGGAGAGGGAAGCTTCAGAAGTTTTTGGAGGTTTTTTAGCGTATTTCGCGGTCGCGTCCGCCATTAACGAATCGATTCGTTATTGTTTCGGAAATCGATTCGTTAATGTTTTGTATTTTTTTTTCACATTTACGAAATTTCGTAAATACCGAACTTTTTTAAGGGAAAATTTTGTAATTATTTTAAATATCGAAACAAAAAAACCCCCCAAATACAAATCGATTTTAGAAACAAATTTTTCCGTTGTTACCCAGGCCTACTCTCTCATTGTAGGTGAACTATAAATCCCAGCAATTACAACTCCCAAATGTCAAGATCTATTTCCCCAAAACTCCCAACAGTGATCACATTTGGGCATATTGAGTATTCATGCCAAGTTTAGTCCAGATCTATCAATATTGGAGTCCACGGTGCTTTCTGGAGATAGGTGAACTACAACTCCCAAACTCAAAGCCAATGCTCACCTAACCCTTTCATTATTTTTTGCTGGTCATGGGCATTCTGTGTGCCAAGTTTGGGTCAATTCCATCTCTGGTGGAGTTCAGAATTTGATTGTAGGTGAACTATAAATCCCAGCAACTACAACTCCCAAGTTCCGGAGAATGAAAATACATCCTGCCTATCAGATAGTTACATGACGATTCATAACAGTAGCAAAATTCCAGTTATGAAGTAGCAACGGAAATATTTTTAGGGTTGGGGGTCACCACAACACGAAAAAACTGTATTAAGGGGTCGCGGCGTTAGGAAGGTTGAGAACCACTGCACTAGTCCCTCACTTAGTGGCAGTTTCGAGGAGCAAACCCTCCCTCCTTCCCTGGTGCTCCAAGGGCATGGTGGGCTTTTTCATCAATGTGCACAACACCTACTTGTGGATGAAGACCTTGCTCATGCCCAGCGCCCGGGCAATGGCACAAGCGTGCTGGCCCCCCGCTCCGCCAAAGCAAGCCAGCACGTGCCGAGAGGTGTCATGGCCCCGGGCCTACAGAAGAGGAGGAGGAGGAGGAGGAAAAAAGAAGACAATGAGAAGGAAGGACAGAAGGAAGGAAGTATTGGGTTTCATCATTGGACTGCACTAGTCTCTAGTGTCATCAAGTTTCCAGTCCTCAATGAGCAGCTAGCTAGAGACTGTGCAAAGCTGAGTGTTTCCTTTCCCACTTCCCCATGCATGTTTCCCAAAATGGCTTTGTGCTGGTACGGCTGTACCAGGAGCTCCAACTTCATTTCTTCCTATTGAGTGTTTGCATGCAATCCAAGGTTCCATGCATTTTGCAAAAGGTGACTTCCCTTGGTTTGCAGTCATAGGGCTAACCACCTGTCTATCATTGTTAAGTTTTGATTCCACCCCTTTTTCCAGGGCTCTGGGAGGGAAAGGGAACCATTTTTAGTTCAGTCTTAAAGTGGAAAGCTTAGCTACAGGACGTGGATCAGCTCCATCTGTTGACAAGCTTCGTTTCTCACAGCATCCGGGGGAAACAGCTCCACATCTTTCGTGGAAAAGATCCAAAAGAACTGCAGCTGGAGAATCTACAAAGCCTTGGCTGGTAGGTCTACTCGGGTAACCAGAAGCAATTGGAGCCGGGAGTAGAGCCCACACCAGGAAGCATAGAAAGTAGATTGCCTGGGAGGGGTTGAAAAGGGTTTTCCTTGTTAAAGAAAAGAAACAGTTCACAAAGCCAGTTACCTGTCCATTTGGGCAAGTTAAGAAGCATTTGTTTGACTTGTTGAAGATCTGAGATGTGTTTGTTTAAATTGTTGAAGATCTAAGCAATAATAAAGGACTTTGTTAAAATTTTCAAGCATCTAAAGACCTTCGTATAGGAAAATCCTTAGGGCCTCTCAGCCAAGGCAACCTGGCTTCCCGCTGGGCACAAAGAGCACGTCCTGTTCAAAAGACAATTATTATAGGCCCAGCGCGTGACAGCACAGGCTTTGTCTCTCCTCCCGCTGCTAGCCTCTGTCTCCTCCCCATTTATTGCCCTGGGCTGACCATGTAATCTCCACCATTGTTCTCTTCTGCCTTTTCTTCCTTCCCGTGAGGACGCATTTTGCCTCTCTCTTTAGGCAAAATGTGGCTGCATGGATTTTTGACTTTTTATCTTTCACCTTTCTTTAGAAGATGAGACTTAGTAAGCTAGTGAGCCCAAGACCTTTTCTATCCAGAATCTATTTTTTTACTTCAATAAATATTTTTGAACCTAAAGTTCTGACTCTGCAATCCTGTGCCACCCTAAGAATAGACGTTTATCCCAGCTTCACCACACGTAAGTTTCTGCTGGTTATAAAGTTGACCTCTGCTTTATTTTTGGTGGAATTGGTGTTGACAGCCCCCGCCCAGCAATTGCTCTGCACTGCAGCAGAGAGTTCCGCAGTTCCTGGCCGCCAAAAATTGGAGAGGATTGGTGTAATGTGACCCAACAGGCAGCTCTGGCTACGAAGGCACTCAGCCTCTATTGCTTTCCCTCTAGCCCTGACTTTGTTACAAGCCCTAATTAAAGTACTTGAGCTTTGCAACTTTGAAAACTTTTCCGCTTGATCTCTCTTTTCTCAGTTTGGACCCCTCCGCCCAGGAAATAATTATTTTGTTTTAAGAAATATAATTTGACAAACAGCTGATTGCCAAACTCTGCCGGCCCTACACAAAGCAGCCCACTTCTCCTTGCTGCCGCTCGTCCCTGCTCGGCCCCACAGCCGGGGGCTTGCTGTGGATGCCCATAGGAGACCCTGGAGAGGTGGCTGGGCAGGAGGCCCAGTCTTTGGGCGGGAGACATAGTTCCCCAAGAACGGAGCGATGGATTTTGTTATGGATCAACTCAGCGCCCATCTGTTGACTTCTGCAGGGAGAAATGACTCTTTGCTGCCTGACTTGGACTGCAAGCCACCTCCACTTCCACAAACCTTCCCCAGGAGCATGGGATTTCTAGTTTCTTCTTAATAAATCAATATTGTAATAAAATAAAAGTGTGGAGTGGGAAAGGTAATTTTATATGAACTCTGTATAAAGATATTACTGTATGGAATGTAACTTGTTTTCCCCTTCCCCTTTACTTTTGCCCTACAAAAAGTGATCAGGAACTGCTGCAATGCTTGAGGGGAAATCCCTGCCCCCCCCCCCTCGAAACTCACCCATTGATTAAATCATCTGCATGGAACAATAACCATAGTGGTTCCCTTATCTCATTTTCTGGCATGTCTGATGAGATAAGGGGGTCTATGGGACTCTGGACAAAAAGAACTATATTTACAAAAGGCAGCGTTGATCCCCCTTTTGAGGTCCGCTACCGATTCTGTTGTTTGCCTCACCCAAAACCCATCAAGAAACAGGAAGACTTTTGTTTACAAGGGTCACACCTTGCCAGCCGAGGACAAAGCCTCGCATACCAGCTGGCAGACAACTACTAAGCCCATCATTTCCTTCCCATTGTCTCTGATCATCCCGCCTCCTGGTTTCTGATTCGTCTATCCTCAGAAGCGGCAGGAGAGTGCTGATTGGCCTCCCAGAGGCGACGGAGCTTGCTGATTGGCTCAGGGGCAAGGCGGGCCGCCAAGCCTCCTCCCAGCTGTTCCAGCCTCAGCCAATCAGCATGAAGCCGGCCGGCAGAGGGCGGGCGGGAATTTCAAAATGTTTTCCTTTGTATTTTTGCTATAAATACGTCTGTATTCTTTGTACTGGTATGCTTGCAGTGGAATGATTCCTGCAATGCATCCGATATCAGCTGAATCGCTAAATAAATCACCTCGATCGCTTGGAACTTCCTCCGCTTTGGTGAGGGTTATTATTTTTAATATTTTAAATTGCTGAAATTGACTTCCGCTGGCCTCACCAAGGTTTCGGGGCCCTTTTTACATGGTCCTTGGGGATCTCCTCCACTGAGGAGACCCTACTAAAAGCAGCTCGATATCAGAATCACCCCAACAGAAGGTTATTTTTGAGCCTAATAGCTCAGATTTCCCAACAAAAAAGGAAAGGAAAGGAAGGGGAGGGAGGGAGGAAGGGGAGGAAGGGAAGAAGGGAAAGGAAGGAAGGGAAGGGAGAAGGAAAGGGAAGAAGGGAAGGGAAGGGAAGGGGAAGGGGAAGGGGAAGGGAAAGGGGAAGGGGAAGGGGGAAGAGGAAGAGGAAGGGAAGGGGAGGGAAGCGGAAGGGAAAGGGAAAGGAAAGGGAAGGAAAGGGAAGGAAAGGGAAGGGAAGGGAAGGGAAGGGAAGGGAAAGGGGAAGGGGGGAAGGGGAAGAGGAAGGAAGGGAAAAGGGGAGGGAAGGGAGGGAAAGAAGGAAGAAAGGAAGGATGAAAGGGAATGGAGAGGGAAGGAAAGAGGGAAGGGGAAAAGGGAAGGAAGGGAAAGGAAGGGGAAGGGGAAAGGAAGGAAGGGAAGGGAGGAAGGAAGGAAGGGAAGGAAAAGGGAAGGAAAGGGAAGGAAAGGGAAGGGAAGGGAAGGGAAGGGAAGGGGAAGGGGAAGGGAAAGGGAAAGGGAAGGGAAAGGGAAGGGAAAAGGAAAGGAAGGAGGTGGGGAGCCCTCTCTGAGTTTTTAAGTATGTCATTTCTTAAATGAATGTAAGTAAATGTAAAAAATCAGACCCAAGCATGCTGTGAGTAATGACTACCAATCCACCTAGTTGATCTTATGTAATTTGCTGCCAGGGTGGAGTAGTTGTGGAAGTACTAAAGGAGTACAAAGCTTCTATGTTGTTGGAGGGTTGGTGTTGTTGGAGAGTCTGTGTTGGAGGAGTATGTTTAGGAGAAAGCTGCAAAGTTCCCGAAAAAGGAGGAGAAAGCCTGTTGCAAGCAAGAAAGCTTCAACTGATTGGGAGTTGCTGGCAGAAAGGTTTGAGAAGAGTTCCTGTATTGTAAATATTCCTTTGTATAAAGTCCTATTTTTCTACTGGAAGGATCATTGGTGTATGTCTACTCCTGAATCCGGAGAGGGAGAGCTTCTGCTGAGAAGGGGGTTGTTTCTCTTGCCACGTATAGAACCCTTTTAATTACAGCGCGACAAGCCCTGTGCCACGAGGCGGCATACCTTTACTCCAAATTGTACATTTCTAGACGTCAAATAAGAATGACACATTCATGACTCTGCTTGCAGCTCAAGGTAGGATAAAACAGAAATACAAAACTCAAGGGCTCCGCGGAGCACACTCTGAGAATCACAGATAATAACAAATCAGTTGGACTTTCATCTTGTGTTTTCCTGATCTCCCCAACTGACCTGCTCCTTGGCCCAAGACCCTCATAGGGATGGGCTGCATTGCCCACCCTGGCCCCTGGCTTCTCATGGGAAAGGCGAGACCCACTGGCCCGTACCTGGGTCAAGGCGCGGATGGGCCGGCACATGGCCTCATTGGCCACCCGCACAAAGCCCATGGCCACCTCCTCGAGGCTGAGCGGCGGCCTCTCGTCATTGGCCAGGAAGGTGTTGACGTTGTCGGTCATCTCCTTGAAGCCGCGGAGGGCGTCCTCCCGCGAGAGGGGCAGGTCCTCGTTGGGGCCGAAGATGTGGGGGAAGTGCGCGGGTAACAGACGGCCCAGACAGAGGTTGGCATCTGTCACGGTCAGTGGACCCCCTGCAAAGGGAAGGAGAAGAGGAAGAAGGGGTCTGTAGCCCATAGCCACTGCTTTGGAAGCCCCCCTCTGCCCTGCAGACACTGGCTTGGCTCACCCTTCCGATAGCAGGAGGGTCCAGGGTGGGCGCCGGCCGACTCGGGACCCACTGCAAAGAGGCCGGACCTGGAGGGGGGACAGAGATGGAGGGGTCATTCAAAATCGGATGGGGGTCCTACTGCAGACAGCCTCCCACCCAACTTAATATGCCCCGAAAGGAGGAAAGAAACAGGAACAGGCAGAGACATGACCTTTGAGGGAAAGGGTCAGAGGCCAGCTATCCGTATTAGGGGCTGGATGGCCATCTGTCAGGGGTGATTTCAGTGCAATGTTCCTGCTTCTTGGCAGGGGGTTGGACTGGATGGCCCATGAGGTCTCTTCCAACTCTTTGATTCTATGATTCTATGACTCGAGTTTCATTTGCCATCGAATCTAATGCACACCTGAATTTTCAATACCCTGAAAACAAAAAAAGTATTTGCTGCCACAGCACCAAATTTACACTCTGTGTAATTTAGGGCATTACTGTTAGACCAGGCATGGGCAAACTTCGGCCCTTCCTCCGGGTGTTTTGGATTTACTCCCACAATTCCTACGGGCTGAAGTCCAAAACACCTGTCATGTCGAAGTTGGTCCATGCCTGTATTAGATAGATAAGGCATTGATAGACGGGAATGCGTTGGCTGTAACCCTATTGAGTAAAATTGGTGGAAAATACAGTTCTATTGGACATGTGGTCACACACCTGCTGCTCGATTAAGTGGGTGTTGACGTGTAACTTGAGGGACATTCTGAGTGTTGGGGTTCAGCCTGAGTTTGAACTTGAACCTGATTCTCTGTTTGTTCCTCCTGATGCTAATGAAAGTATATTTACTGATGCTAGTGGAAATGTACCTCTTGATGCCAATGCTCCTGAAATTAGTGAGGAAGAAACTGCTGTAGGTTTGGAAAATGCCAATGTTCCTGAAATTAGTGAGGAAGGAACTTCTGTAGATTTGGAAAATGAAAGTACCAGTGTTCATGAGAATGTTTCAGAGGGAGACCTTGAACTTTCCCTCCCTTCTGCACCTGTTAACTGTAATGACAACAGAAGGGGCCAAATTTGGGAAGACAGAAGTAAATCACTCAGTTTGCGTCGATCCTCTCGAATTCAAGAATTAAAAACATTGGCTTCAAAAAAGAAGGGCGGTTCACGGAACCAATTCTTGAGTTTTAATTGCCTTACGCCGGGCTGACTGTCTCAGTTCAGGCATCGTTTCAGAATTGATGAAGACCTTGGCAGTTCTTCCGGTTCCCTGGCCATAGTTTGGGAAGATTTCTAGGATATCAAGTACGGTTAGTGGATTGCTAACAGATTCCAGTATTTCACAGTGAGGCTTTTGGTTTTGCTTTGTCCATTTAAATTCATGTTTGCTGATTTTGCTGTGGCTTTTGACTTGCATTTTTCCTTTATTTTGTAACCATTCTTCTTCAATAAAAAAGGATTGTTTTTCACAGCCAAGTGTGGTGGATAGCTATCTTAGGGCCTCGTTCCCTGCTCTGGATTGCAACACTGAGAAGGTTGTCATGACCATATGAGAGTCATGATGAGGGTTGCATCATTCACTTTTGTCCCTGGCTGTGGGCCAAAGTTGGCCCATGCCTGTGTCATATGATAGAATCATAGAATCATGGAATCAAAGAGTTGGAAGAGACACCTCCTGGGCCATCATCCAGTACAACCCCATTCTGCCAAGAAGCAGGAATATTGCATTCAAATCACCCCTGACAGATGGCCATCCGGCCTCTGTTTAAAAGCTTCCAAAGAAGGAGCCTCCACCACACTCCGGGGCAGAGTTCCACTGCTGAACGGCTCTCACAGTCAGGAAGTTCATGACAAGGGTCCATGGAGGATTCCAGGGCAGTCTGACCTGGGGTCCACACAGTGGCCAAAGTGGGGAGGATATGGTTTGTGCTGCTGATCTCAGGCCAGTCTAAGGAAGGACAAGCAAGGCAATGATAGACACCTGTCCCCACCTGAAGAAGAGCCGTGACCCTCCACCCGCAGCCACCGTGTTGATGTCCAGCTGTGGGGCCTGGATGCTGATGCCGGCGGTGCTGGCCTCGAAGACATGCTCATACTCCCCGGCGTAGCGGCTCACATCTGTAGACGTCCCTGTAGGGGGGGAGACAGGAAGGGACACAGGGTTGGACACAGAGCTCGGTCACTTCAAAAGCCCCTATGCTGTGTCCCCCACTGGCCACCCCACTCACCTCCCATGTCAAAGCCAATGACTGGCTGCTGGTCCTTCTCTCGGCGGAAGGTGGTGACAGCGTAGCCCACGACTCCGCCGGCTGGGCCAGAGAGGATGGCTCTTGAGCCGCTGAAGGCCTCCATTGGGGTCAGGCCTCCATCTGAGCGCATGAACATCACTGGAATGCCCTACAAGGGAGTTGAGGAGAAGGAAAAGGGGAGCCAGGTGAGGGGCTCTGGTGAGAGACCCTAATGCATTGTTACACCGGGACTTTTTGAACCTCTCCACTCAGGACACTTGGGACACTCAGGACACCATTTGGCCCAAGGTATTTCTACACGGACTCAGGTTATACAGATATATAAACATGCCAAGAGGAAGGTGCATCAAGCCAACTCTGTCAGTGTGATGAGTGGATTGAATGAAATTGTATGATTGGGGTCTGGCTAAGAGCCTATTAAGGCCTGGCAAGACCGAAGATGCCATCTTTCCCACACTGATACTGAAAGTGCAGAAAGCCTTGACAGTGACCTGACCCGGCAGGCTAGTCTTGATTTGCGGGTCAGACGGAGTTCTTGCCTGACCGGCAGATGGGAAGCCAGCTCGGGCCAAGGTCATTGCAATGCTTTCATGTTGGTGAGAGCATAATGTTTTCATGTTAGAAAGGTATTTAGGCTTCTTGCAAACTAAGGGAAAGTGTCTGTTCAACGTAGCTTATTAGCCTGAAAGCTTCATTGATTACCTTAGCTGGCAAGCAGTATGCTTGGGATTTCTTGCATTGTGATTCTTGGGGCAATTGTCTTTGCTTGTACCTTGTTTTTAGCTGAAGACCTTTGGAACTGTATTCTGCATTTTACCCGAATCTTTGGAACTTTGTAATGCTTATTCTTTATTTTGACTTGGATTTTTCCTCAATAAACTATAAAAGTACATCTCTTGTGTGGTGGTGTTTGGAAGCAAGGTGAAGCTTACTCTGAGTTGCAACAGCTCCTTCCAATCATCTGTGCCTATGGGAGCCAGGCACGGATGGGGCTTGGACCCAAAAACTCTGTGTGTGTGTGTATTAGGCAGCTTTCCTCACCTTCAGTTGGGAGGCGAACCCCTCCCGGAAGCTGTCCAGGTAGCGGCGGATGCAGGGGGTCAGGTAGGCGTCTGCGCAGGCGGTGTATCCCCGGGGCACGGCCCGCACCATGGGCATCACCTCTGAGGAGAGAGAGACCTGGCGGAAGCCCAGCTCCTGGGCCAGAGAGCCCACCTGCCGCTCGTGCTCCGGCCACCTGTCAGGATGTGGAGAACAGCATAGAGTAACCTTATGGTCACTGCACACTGTACAACAAAATTACATGCCATCCCCAATATGCATCTATATAAATAAAAATGTAATGTTCGTTTGTGGGATTAACAGAACTCAAAAACCACTGGACGAATTGACACGAAATTTGGACACAAAACACCTAACAGTCCAACAAGTGTCCATCACCCGTAAACACACACACAACCCCAGTGGAACAGACTTAAAGCCGCAAAATACACCATATATACATATACACATACACTCATATACATATACACATGCATATATTCATACACACACACGTATATATATGCACAAACACACACAGATATACACATAAACACAAACATACATATACATACACACAGGCCCGTAGCCAGGATTTCGTTTCGGGGGGGGGGGGGGGGGGAAAATTTTTTCAGGGGGAGTTTCGGGGCGGGGGCTGAGTCTGAGTGAAAGAGGGTCTAGCCTAGCAAACCTTTTGTATCATTACCCCAATACCCCCATGCATATGGGATATATTGAGTATGGTGATCAGATCATGATATGAATAAACATAACAGTTTAAATAATGCACCGGTAAGGCCTTTTCGCGAACCACCATGAGAATTTGGGGGGGGGCTGAAGCCCTCAAGCCCCCCCCCCCGTTGTTACCCAGGCCTAGTGTATACATATACACATGCACACACATATACATATCCACATACATATATACACACAAATATGCATATAGACAAGCACACACATATACACTATGCATGCCTACATATAAACACACAAATACACAAATATATACACATACTTATATACTCTCTCTCTCTCTATCTATATATATATGCAAACACACATATATACACAAATATATACACATTAGGGCTGGGCGGTTTCGTTTCGTTAATTCGTAATTCGTTAATAATTCGTTAATTTTTTCAATTACAAAACGATAACGAACCATTCTGGAGCAATTATTAAAAAAAAACGAATTTTCAAAAACGTTTTGTAAATGCTTCGTATTTCGATATTGTATTCGTTTCGTTATTGTTTTGAGGTCGTTTCGTTATTATTTCCGCATGTCTGGGCCAGTTTTATGGTTTAATTAGTGAAAAAAAATTATAATATCACACCAACAGTCAACAACAGAGGGAGAGGGAAGCTTCAGAAGGTTTTGGAGGTTTTTTAGCGTATTTCGCGGTCGCGTCCGCCATTAACGAATCGATTCGTTATTGTTTCGGAAATCGTTTCGTTAATTTTTTACCATTTACGAAATTTCGTAAATATCGAACTTTTTAAAAGGAAAATTTTGTAATTATTTTAAATATCGAAACAAAAAACCCCCCAAATACAAATCGATTTTAGAAACAAATTTTTCCGTTGTTACCCAGGCCTAATACACATACATAAACACATATATACACATGCAAAACACATATACACAGACTGGGCCACAGCAACGTGTGTCAGGCGACAGCCAGTTATTAGGGCTGGGCGGTTTTGTTTCGTAATTTCGTAATTCGTTAAAAATTCGTTATTTTTTTTTGTTACGAAGCGATAACGAACCATTCGTGAGCATCTAAAAAACGAAACGAATTTTTCAATTCGTTTCGTAATTGCTTCGTATTCGTTTCGTATTCGTTTCGAAATCGTTTCGTTATTATTTCTGCATGTCTGGGGCAAGTTTTATAGCTGTTGTTTGTTTAATCAGTGAAAAAAAATTATAAATATCACACCAACAGTCAACAACAGAGGGAGAGGGAAGCTTCAGAGTTCCCCCTGTCCCATTTGGAGGTTTTTTAGCATATTGCGCGGTCGCGTCCGCCCTTAACGAATCGATTCGTATTCGTTTCGTATTCTGTTTCGTAATTTTATGAAATTTCGTAAATATCGAACTTTTTTAAAGAAAAATTTTGGAATTCTTTTAAATATCGAAACGCAAAAAACCCCAAAAAACGAATCGAGTTTAGAAACAAATTTTTCCGTGGTTGCCCATTCAGGTTTTTATACAGAACTAGCTGTGCCCTGCCACGCGTTGCTGTGGCCTATAGTAAAACTTATCAAAGTTGAGGTAGATATCTGGACTATTATGAAAGAGAGGTCCCTACCTATTCCTTCCCCCTTTTCCTCCCCCTTTCTCTCCTTTCTTCCTTCTCTACCTCTTTCTTTCTTTCCTTCTTTCACTACTTGGTTTCATCCTTCTCTCTTTCCTTCATTCCCTCCCCCTTTCTTCCTTTCCCTTTCTTCCCTCCCTGTTTGCTTCCTTCTTTCACTTTTTATTTCCTTTTATTTCACCACCATCATAACAATAACAATAATGCAATGCATTGCCTCTGGGACCTGACACCTCTCCCATTCCCCCTAAAAGGGTCTCATAGGAACAATAGCATCATCATAATAATAGAAATAACAACCTTTACCCACCACGTGTTGCTGTGGCCAATCTTCCCTCTTTCTCTCCTTCTTTCCCTCCCTCCCTCCCTCCTTCCTTCCTTCCTTCCTTCCTTCCCATCTTTCCTTCTCCTCTTCTTTCTCTATCTCTTTCCTTCCTTCCCCCTTTTTCTTTCTCTTCTGCTGTCTCTCTTTTCTTTCCTTCCATCTTTCCTTTTCTTTCCTTTTCTTCTTCCTCTAACTTTCCTTCCTTCCCCCTTTTTCTTTACCTCCCTTTCTCTTTCTTCCTTCTTTCCTTCCTTCCTGTCTTTCCTAGATTTTGACAGGGCGGGAAGGGGCGGGGTGGGGTTTGGAGGTGGCGTGAAGTAAAAGGAGGTAAGATTGGGGCAGGGGAGTGATGGAGCGTGGGGTTGTGTGTGTGTGTGCGGCGGCGGGGGGAGTGATGGAGCGTGGGGTTGCGTGTGTGTGTGCGGCGGCGGGGGGAGTGGGGTTGCGTGTGTGTGTGCGGCGGGGGGGAGTGGGGTTGCGTGTGTGTGCGGCGGTGGGGGGAGTGATGGAGCGTGGGGTTGCGTGTGTGTGTGCGGCGGCGGGGGGAGTGATGGAGCGTGGGGTAGCGTGTGTGTGTGCGGCAGGGTGTGTGTGTGTGCGGGAAGTGGCGCAGCGGGGCTTGGAGTGGGCATGGTTTCCACAGAGGGAACGTTGGCCGGAAGGCCATGTGCGCGCGCGATGGAACTTGCGGCTGGGCGCCAATGCGCATGCTCAGTTGTTTTGCCGTTTTGTGAGTGTGTTGTGTTGTTTTTCATTTTGAGTAGATATGTTTGTACCTTGTGGGTTGTGTTATGGGCATGGGAATTTTGGTTAAGTTTCGTTGGGGTTTTTTTGAGTTTTGTTGTTTTGCCGTTTTGTGAGTGTGTTGTTGTGTTGTTTTTCATTTTGAGTAGATATGTTTGTACCTTGTGGGTTGTGTTATGGGCACGGGGATTTTAGTTTAGTTTCGTTGGGGGATTTTTGAGTTTTGTTGTTTTGCCGTTTTGTGAGTGTGTTGTTGTGTTGTTTTTCATTTTGAGTAGATATGTTTGTACCTTGTGGGTTGTGTTATGGGCATGGGAATTTTGGTTAAGTTTCGTTGGGGGATTTTTGAGTTTTGTTGTTTTGCCGTTTTGTGAGTGTGTTGTTGTGTTGTTTTTCATTTTGAGTAGATATGTTTGTACCTTGTGGGTTGTGTTATGGGCACGGGGATTTTAGTTAAGTTTCGTTGGGGGATTTTTGAGTTTTGTTGTTTTGCCGTTTTGTGAGTGTGTTGTTGTGTTGTTTTTCATTTTGAGTAGATATGTTTGTACCTTGTGGGTTGTGTTATGGGCATGGGAATTTTGGTTAAGTTTCGTTGGGGGGTTTTTGAGTTTTGTTTCCTCGTTGGATGCCCCTAACAAATTTATATATATAGATTACAGTTCGCCCATCCTTCCGCATTCTAATCACTATTGCACCACCGCTAATGTCACATCAGTGTGGATCCGCAGAGCTCAGAATAGTCACAGCTCTGGGATAAAAACAATTTCGCAGCCTATTTGTTTATATCACCCTATACCATCTGCCAGGTGGTGATAATTCAAAAATAGAATATCCAGGGTGAGGTGGATCCTTGAGACTATTCTGAGCTTTCTTAAGGCAGCGGGGAGGGTGAAGAGGGGAGAGGATTCTAGGATTCTGTGTGAGAGAAATCTGAAGAATCCATCTTTATTCCTCAACATTTTTGCATCATCCTTTTGATGCTCTGCAACCAAGTCTTCTACCTGTGTGATGTCTTTCCTGAGTCAACTGCATCAATACATTGCATTATTGGTTTGTTATTATTTGCCTCTTGTGCCTATGGGCATGCTTTGTGTGGGAGGGCAGGGGTCAATACTGCCTTACCTTTTCGATAAGCTTATGGACTTAAATGCTAGCTGCTGGATTCTTAAACTCTACCTTTTTGTATCTCAGCTCACCTCCGCTGTTTCTTTTTTCCACTCTGCTGGTGTTCATGTTAATTTGGGTCAAAACTAATTCAAGCGGATTAGCTGTTTCTTCTCTGGCTAAATGGTTAGAGAGACCCTAACATCTATATAAATAAAAATGGAATGTTCATTTGTGGAATTTGTGGCAGGAACGAGAGACAGGGCCTTCTCTGTGGTGGCCCCTCGGCTTTGGAACACCCTCCCTATAGAGGTACGATCAGCCTCTTCGCTGATGGTGTTTCGGAAGAGATTGAAAACATGGTTGTTTACACAAGCATTCGGTTAATCCGTTGCAATCGAATTTAGGTGACCAAAGGACAGGTAATCATGGACAACGAATTTTGGATTGTGATTTTAGTTCGAGATGCATAGGATTATTATTGGTGGCCCAATAATTGGTATTGTATGTGTTGTATGTTTTATATTGAAGATTGTCTTTTTTAATTGTTGTAAACCGCAATGAGTCGCCGATTTAGGCTGAGATATTAGCGGTATACAAGTGTATTAATAAAATAAATTAACATAACTCAAAAGTCACTGGACGAATGGACACCAAATTTGGACACAAGACACCTCTCAGGCCAACGAGTGACCATCACTCATAAAAACACTGAAAAACACAACAGAAGGGACTTAAAAAGCCAAAAATAAAAAATACATTACAATGCATGTGCAAAACCACACATATATACGCAAACATACATATATACACATATACACAAATATATACACACACATATATGCATATATACACACAGAAAACACATATACACAGAATGGGAAGGAGGAAAGAAGAAGGAGGAAAAGGAAAGGAGAGAAGGAAGTAAGGAGAAAGGAAAAAAAAAAGGAAAAGAGACCCAGACAGTGTGCGACAAACAATGGATAGTCTTCAAAAAAAAACCTGAGTGCTAATTGGGAGAAAACTCCTGCGAAAAACCTCCTTGTGGCGTGGGGGTACATTTGGCTATAAATCAAGGGCGGAGCAGTTCAGCTTTCACTGGCTTCACTGAAGTAAAGAAGGAAGGAGGAAGGAAGAAGGAAGGGGAGAAGGAAGGAAGGAAGAGGAAAGGAGAGGAAGGAAGGAAGGAAGGAAGGAAGGCAGGCAGGAAGGAAGAGGCAGGAAGGAAGGAAGGCAGGAAGGAAGGCAGGCAGGAAGGAAGGCAGGAAGGAAGGAAGGCAGGAAGGAAGGCAGGAAGGAAGGAAGGCAGGAAGGAAGGCAGGCAGGAAGGAAGGCAGGAAGGAAGGCAGGCAGGAAAATAATATTTCAGTATAATGGTGTAGTACAATATAGTAATACATAATACTGATATTGTGTTGTGCTAATGTAATATATTGTGTACACATATGATATGGATAATAGTATAATGTAATACAGTATAATACTAATTTATTTATCGTGTCATCAGCAACCATACCATTGTATTACATTTCTAACAGAACAAAACAAACAAACCAATTAAAAAAGCACAAATTTTGCAAACTTGGTAGTTGATTAGATGTCCTTTGACCAATATCTGGCCCCTTGGAATGCCTCTGGTGTTGCCACAAGAAGGTCCTCCATTGTGCATATGGCAGCGTTCAGGGTGCATGAAAGAAGGAGCCTCCACCACATTCTGAGGCAGAGAGTTCCACTGCTGAACAGCTCTCACAGTCAGATTTAGATAGGGAGGATCGCTTACAATTCAAAATTCGCCGCAGTGCGAGGCTTGCTAACAAGAGGGAGGTTAGAGGTCAACGGAATGAGTTCATGCTGGGAAAGTATATTAAACGGGGTGTCTGAAGGCAAATCTTTGTCAGTGCAATTTCTGCGAACAACCTGTCAACTTCAAAACTTTGGATTGCCTTGGATTTTGGGCAATGTTCTTGGCTTCCTGGGACTCTGTCATGGTGTCATGGAATCTTGTTTGATCTATAGTCTTTGGATTATGCTTCATGCTGTTTGCTATTGAACTTTTGAAACTTACTTTTGCATTTAAGACTTTTCCTTTCTTCAGTGAACTACAAAATCTTCAGCCTTTGTGTGGTTTGGTGTTTAGAGGAAGGTGACTCTACTCTGAGCTGTGACATAAGATTTAATTATTCTGCTAGTCCACAAGGCCTTTATTCAGCACACCTACCTGCGTGACCACATTTCCGTAGACGAACCCACACGATCTCTTCATTCATCTGGAGAGGCCCTGCTCACGATCCCACCTGCATTGCAAGCGCGATTGGTGGGGACAGGGCCTTCTCAGTGGTGGCCCCACGACTCTGGAACTCCCTCCCCAAGGACATCAGGCATGGCCCAACATTGACAGTTTTCAGAAGGAGCTTGAAAACATGGATTTTCCAGTGTGCCTTCCCAGATTAAGGAATCCCAAGCAATATGTCCCAAATGCACTTTATGAGAGAGTTAGAATTGTCTGTACACCCACTCCCCCCCCCCCCCCCCCCCCCCCCAAATATCCATCCTTTTCTACCTGGTCATACCCAGCATTTTTTTAAAAAAAAATCTTTACATTTGGCCCTGCCAGGTTTTTACATTGCGTTGTGATGTTTTGTTCTTGTTTTTGCTTTGTTACGAGTTATTTATTGTTGTACTGTATTGTTGTGGTTGTGTTTCTGTTCTGATGTATTTTGGGCTCGGCCTCTTATAAGCCACACCGAGTCCTGCAGGAGATGGTAGCGGGGTATAAATAAAGGATTATTATTATTATTATTATTATTGGCCATCTCCATATGGGGCAGGCTTGCCTGGTACATCATCAAGGCAGGGCCTTAGCTTTGCCCAGATAGGGAGCGCATGGAAGCTGGATGGAGCTATGTATGCCGACCTGAGTCGCCTTCGGGCTGATTTATTGTCATGTCAGGAGCAACTTGAGAAACTGCAAGTCGCTTCTGGTGTGAGAGAATTGGCCGTCTGCAAGGACGTTGCCCAGGGGACGCCCGGATGATTTTGATGTTTTTATCATCCTTGTGGGAGGCTTCTCTCATGTCCCCGCATGAGGAGCTGGAGCTGATAGAGGGAGCTCATCCGCCTCTCCCTGGATTCGAACCTGCGACCTGTTGGTCTTCAGTCCTGCCGGTACAGGGGTTTAACCCACTGTGCCACCCACACACGGCACAGAGGTTTAACCCACAGTGCCTTCGGGCTGATATGGATGGGATAGAAATAGTATAAATAAATAATAGCTGGACTGCCACTCTTATCAGCCCCATAGTGGACAGCCAACAGTAAGGAATGATGTGTTTTGCAGCTCAACGACTACTCACTGCTCAGTGTAAGATATGGCTATGAATGACAAGCTTTTGCTTCAGGTGAGAAAGAAAAGTTGGCAAAGGAGCAAAGAAACATCCTTAAGCCTTGGCATGGATTGTGCCAGGAGGCCTGGGGACTCCGAACATGCTCAGAGAATGACACCACACCATGTAGCTTGGTTCAAGATGGTTTATTTGTCTCATGAGCTCCAAGAAGTCAACATGCAAGAAGATTTCTGCCTCAAAAGTGCTTGTAGGTCTCCAGGCTGCAGAGCTGTCCCCCTCCCCTAGAGGAGACCCCCTTCCACTCCCACCAAGGAAGGCAAAGAGGCTGGGCTGCAGGAAAGGTGTAGTGTTTACAGAAAGGAGGGACACTTGCCCCATCAGCCTAAGCCAGAAAGAGCATTCCTTCTCCTCGTTCAGACCAGCAGGCACCCTTCACACCTCTGGTCCCTTTGAAGCAGCACGGCTTCATTATTCAGCTCAGACTTTGCTGAATAATGTGGGGCAGATCCACCAGGTAAAACGCTCCTTCTTCTCCACCCCTGGCATTTGCCCCACAGCAAGACCCAAAGGTGCCAGAGACCAAGGTGATGGTGGTGGAGGTGGGGATGGAGGCCATGTGGAGCCACCTCCTCCAGGGCAGGAACCAGAACAGCCTGGGCTGAGACCAAGGGGCAGCTGGCCTGTGCCCATAAGTAGAAGAAGGGGCCGCCTTCAGGTTGGAGTGTTCGTCTTGGCCACAGCACCTGCCCAGGTATGCAGGTCACTCTACAGACAGGCACATAACACACACACAGAGCTTCAGGCAGTCAATAGCACACACAGAGCTTTGCCGCAGCCAAGGTCAGTCTGAGACAGGAGAGAAAGGAAGTGGAAGCAGTAACGGGGTGGGGCAGGGCAGGGCAGGGAGGGGTGGGGAGGGGGCTCTCTTAGGAGACAAGGCGGACGTGGAGCCGGTGAAGCTGCTCCGGAGTGAGGACCAGTCTGTGGACCTGGTTGTGGCCTGGCTGGCAGGGGAAGGTCACTTTGCCAATGTAGACCGTGTCCTCCTTCTGCTCCTCTTTGGCCTGCAGAGGAGAAAATGGCCGGCAGAGGATCAGGGAAGGGGCAGGAAGACCCTCATTCTGGAGGAACCCAAAGACCTTCCCCTCCTCTCCCCAAAGTGAAGCCCATGCCTTACCTTCAGGAAAGGGGTTGATGGGAAGGTGCCAAAGTCCGTGGGAACGCTGGCTCCAGGGTGCTGCAGGACCGTCTCCTTCATGACTTCACCCTACAAGAGAAGAAACGGGTTGGTCAGCTCCCCTGGACACCATCCCTTGCACTCTTGGCACCCGGTGTGATGTTCTCACAATATCTTCCTCCTACATGGAAGGCTACAATCCCCAGCAGTTGTTGCCTCCCTCTCCCATTTCTGGGTGGAGCAGCAAAAGCGTGCTGGGCCCATAACCCTTTGTTGGGGAATCTGAACTGTCAGGCTCAAAAAATGACCCTCAGTTGTGGTAATTCCACCATAAATATAGCAGAGCACCAAAAGCAAACTTCATAACCAGCAGAAACATGTGATGAGCTGGGATAAGCTTCTATTTCAGTGGTTCTCAACCGTGCTAATGCCGTGACCCCTTAATGCAGTTCCATATGTTGTGGTGACCCCCAACCATAATATTGTTTTCATTGCTACTTGATACCTGTCATTTTACTACTGTTATAAATCGTAATGTAAATATCCGATATGCAGGATGTATTTTCATTCACTGGTAAATTGAGCACAAATACCCATATGCCCAAATGTGAATGCTAGTGGGGTTGGGGGGATTTATAGTTCACCTATAATAAAAGAGCATTCTAAACTCCACCAGCAATGGATTTAAACCGAACTTGGCACACAGAACTCCCATGTCCAATTCTGGGCACCACAATTCAAGAGAGATATTGACAAGCTGGAATGTATCCAGAAGAGAGCGACTAAAATGATCAAGGGTCTGGAGAACAAGCCCTATGAGGAGCGGCTTAAGGAGCTGGGCATGTTTAGCCTGAAGAAGAGAAGGCTGAGAGGAGATATGATAGCCATGTATAAATATGTGAGAGGAAGCCACAGGGAGGAGGGAGCAAGCTTGTTTTCTGCTTCCCTGGAGACTAGGACGCTGGAACAATGGCTTCAAACTACAAGAAAGGAGATTCCATCTGAACATGAGGAAGAACTTCCTGACTGTGAGAGCCATTCAGCAATGGAACTCTCTGCCCCGGAGTGTGGTGGAGGCTCCTTCTTTGGAAGCTTTTAAACAGAGGCTGGATGGCCATCTGTCAGGGGTGATTTGAATGCAATATTCCTGCTTCTTGGCAGGGGGTTGGATTGGATGGCCCATGAGGTCTCTTCCAACTTTTTGATTCTATGATTCTGGACTTGAACCAAACTTGGCACACAGAACTCCCATGACCAACAGAAAACATTGGAAGGGTTTGGTGGGCATTGACCTTGAATTTGGGAGTTGTAGTTCACCTATATCCAGAGGAGTGCTGTGGATTCATGCAATGATGGAACTGGACCAAACTTGGCACAAATACTCAGTATGCCCAAATGTGAACACTGGTGGAGTCTGGGCAAAATAGACCTTGACATTTGGGAGTTGTAGTTGTTGGGATTTATAGTTCACCTACAATCAAAGAGCATTCTGAACTCCACCAACAATAGAATTGGGTCAAACTTCCCACACAGAATCCCAATGACCAACAGAAAATACTATGTTTTCTGGTGGTCTTTGGCGACCCCTTTGATACCCCCTCAGGGGTCCTGACCCCCAGATTGAGAAACACTGTTCTATTTCTTAGGATGGCCCAGGATTGCAGAATTCAGAACTTGCTAAGTTCAAAAATATTTTAAAAATACATTCTTGATAGAAAAGGTCTTGGAGTGAACTAGCTTACGAAGTCCCATCTTCTAAGAAGGTAAAAATATCAAAAGGTTCATGCAGCTACATTTTGCCTAGAGAGAGAGGGAGGCAAAATGTGCATCCTCACTGAAAGGAGGAAAAAGGTAGAGAGATGGAAAATGGCAAAAGGCCACATGGCCTTGCCCAGGGCAATAAGAGAAGGCACTGCCCACACCATCATCCACTGTAGCCTGGGAGTGGGATGGCAGTGTCACTAGCTTGCAAAATCTCATCTTCTAAAGAGGTAAAAAGGTAAAAAGTCAAAAAAAAATCCGTGCAGCTACATTTTGCCTAAAGAGAGAGGCAAAACGTGCATCCTCACTGGAAGGAAGAAAAGGCAGAAGAGACAGTGGTGGCAAAAGCCCACATGGCCAGCCCAGGGCAATAAAAATACCTTTTAAAAGGAAGTTCCCTCACAGAGATTCCATTGCTACATCTTCAAAGGGAGAGGAGACAGTGGATAGCAGGAGGAGGAACGACAAAGCCCTTTTAGGGAAACAGGCATAGGAATACGGCGGAAGGAATCCTTCATTCTAATCCTATCTCTAGTCTAGGTACTCATTGAGGTCTGGAGACTTGATGACACAAAAGACGTGTGCAGTCCAGGGATAAAACCCAACACAAGAGGAGGGCACTGCCCACACCATCATCCACTGTGGCCTGGGAGTGTGATGGGAGTGTCACTAGCTTGCTAAATCTTATCTTCTAAAGAGGTAAAAGGTGGAAGGAATCCCTCATTCTAATCCTAACTCCAGTCTAGCTACTCACTGAGGTCTGGAGACTTGATGACACAAAAGACGTGTGCAGTCCAGGAATAAAACCCAACACAAGAGAAGGGCACTGCCCACACCATCATCCACTGTGGCCTGGGAGTGGGATGGCAGTGTCACTAGCTTGCAAAATCTCATCTTCTAAAGAGGTAAAAAGGTAAAAAGTCAAAAAAATCCATGCAGCTACATTTTGCCTAAAGAGAGAGGCAAAATGTGCATCCTCACTGGAAGGAAGAAAAGGCAGAAGAGACAGTGGTGGCAAAAGCCCACATGGCCAGCCCAGGGCAATAAAAACACCTTTTAAAAAGGGGTGACTGTTACTCATTGAGGTCTGGAGACTCGGTGACACAAAAGATGTGTGTAGTCCAAGGAAAAAACCCAACACAAGAGAAAGGCACTGCCCACACTATCATCCACTGTGGCCTGCGAGTGTGATGGGAGTGTCACTAGCTTGCTAAATCTCATTTGTACATGAGGCCCGCCCACTGTTATCGTGATTGTGTTTATTGGAATGTTTTTTTCTTCTTTCTCCTATGTAATTTTGATAATGCTGATTGTTGTTTATGTTCTTGTTTTTATTTCGATGTAATATGTTGTCCGGGCTTGGCCCCATGTAAGCCGCTCCGAGTCCCCATTGGGGAGATGGTGGCGGGGTATAAATAAAGATTATTATTATTATTATCTTCTGAAGAGGTAAAACTGTAAGAAGTCAAAAAATCCATGCAACTACATTTTGCCTAAAGAGAGGGGCAAAATGTGCATCCTCACAGGAAGGAAGGCAGAAGAGACAATGGTGGCAAAAGCCCACATGGCCAGCCCAGGGCAATAAAAATACCTTTTAAAAGGAAGTTCCCTCACAGAAATTCCACTGCTACATTTTCAAAGGGGAGGAGACCATGGAAAGCAGGAGGAGGAAAGTCACAGCCCTTTTGGTAAGCATGCATAAGAATGTAGAGGAGGAATCTCTCAGCCCAATCCTATCTCCAGTCTAGGTACTCACTGAGGTCTGGAAACTTGATGACACAGGAGACTTGTGCAGTCCAGGGATGAAACCCAACAGTTCTCACATGGCAGGCTACAATCCTCACCAGTTGCCGCCTCCCTCTCCATTTCCTTGCAACCTAGAGGAGCTGCCAGTACTCAGAGGCATCCAATGATTACCTTCAGTTTATCGATGGTTTCACTCAGGGATTTCAGGCGGGCCGTTTGCTCCAAGAGCTGAGACGCTGGGCTGGCAGCTGCAGGGAGAAAGGAAGGACAGTCAGGGATGGAAGGGAAGGTGGCAGAGTTGTCATATGCCTCCCATCCGGCCCAACACCAAGCTCACCCGTCCTCTGCCGTGTGATGTCCACCACCTTGGCGTTGGCGCTCATCTGGTAGAGGGCCTCCAGCATCTGGCTGGTCTTGCGGTAGAGCGAGCTGGAGACCACCTCCTCTCCTTGCCTGTCCTTGGGGAGGGAGAGCTTAGGCACGCGCAGCGGGGTCAGCGACGCCAACTCCCTCCTCATCTGAGCTCCCTGAGAGGGAAGAAAGCGGGAAGAAGACCCCGGTGAGCATGCTGAGCCCAGCTGTGATGCTGCACAGACCCTAAGAGCCCACCCTGCAGCTGCAAAGGCGGATTCACTGAGCCCATTCTCTTGATTGTCTCAAACAAGGTGCTGTCGCAACTCAGGATAGATTCACCTTGCTCAGAACACCACACCAAGGCTGAAGGTTTTGTAGTTTATTGAAGAAAAACAAGGTCTTTAACATAAAGAGAATGTTTCAAAAGTTCAATGGCAAAAGCAGAGTCTTAAATGCAAAGGCAAAGTTCCCAAAGTTCAATGGCAAACCACATGAAGCATAATCCAAAAGGCATGGATCCAACAAGATTCCGTGGCAGCATGACAGAGTCCCAAGAAGCCAAGAACAAGACGAAGTCCCAAGAAGCCAAGAGCGTTGCCCAAAAGCCAAGGCAATTCAAAGAAGTTGCACTGACCAAGAGTTGACTTCAAACAGCCCGTTTAATATACTTTCCCAGCATGAACGCATTCCATTGACCTCTAACCTCCCTCTTGTTAGCAAGCCTCGCACTGCGATGAACCCTGAATTGCAAGCGATCCTCCCTATCTAAATCTGCAGAGCCCTCAAGGTCGGATCGCTTGTTAGCCTGAGAATCAGCAGGCTGAGAGCTCGCCTCCTCCACCTGCACCTGGGAAGTTTCACTAAGATCAGAAACAACTTCCAAAACATCCCTTGCCATGGGAAACTGAAACTCCTCATCTTCTGCATCAACATCATCTGTATCGACAACAGGAACATGTTCAGGAATCTGAAACACATCATCTTCTTCCTGAGGCTCCAGCTGAGCCACAACAGGTGCAGGAAGGGTGTGTAATGCAACTGTTATGCAATCACGTGAGCTTAGGTTAACACCACCCAAGCATAAGGTCAACTCTCAATCTTGATCTGTGGAACAGGCTGACACTTCCCTCTTGACTATACCAAGTTTGAAATGCTTACAAGAAGGTGCAGGTTCACAACTTGGGAGTGATCCTGGATTCATCGCTGAGCCTGGAACCCCAGGTCTTGGCGGTGACCAGGGGAGCTTTTGCACAGTTAAAACTTGTGTGCCAGCTGCGCCCGTATCTTGGGAGGTCGGACATGGCCAAGGTGGTCCACACTCTGGTTACATCCCATATAGACTACTGCAATGCACCCTATGTGAGGTTGCCTCTGAAGACCGCCCAGAAGCACACAACGGCCTTGCTACGCCAGCTCCACTGGCTGCCTATTAGCTTCCGAGCACAATTCAAAGTGCTAGTTTTGACCTATAAAGCCCTAAATGGCTCTGGCCCAGTTTATCTATCTGAACATGTCTCCCCTATGAACCATCAGGGACCTTAAGATCATCTGGGGAGGCCCTGCTCTCGATCCCGCCACCATCAGAGTCACATTTGGTGGGGACGTGACAGGGCCTCCTCTGTGGTGGCCCCTCAGCTATGGAACTCACTCCCCAAGGAGGTTAGATCTGCCCTCTCCCTTCTGACTTTTCGCAAGAAACTTAAATCCTGGTTGTGGGAGCAAGCGTTCGCAGAATGTACGAATTTTATTGGTGAAGATGAGATTTTATGGACTGGAATTTGGACTGATTTGGAGGATATTTTAAACCTGGCGAACTGTTTTTAATCCGTATCTATACTTATTTTTATGTATTTGTGTATTTTATTGCTGTTTTTATATTGCATCGGCATCGAATTGTTGCCTGCTGTAAGCTGCCCTGAGTCCTTCCTCAGAGGTCGAGAAAGGATGGGATATAAATGTTCTAAATAAATAAGTAAATAAGACTCCTGGGCCCTCACTCCACCCCTCACCTTGAGCCGGTTGTTCTCATTCTTGAGGTGCTTGATGGAGAGCTGCATGGCATCAATCTGCTGGAGCAGGAGCGGGGAGTCCTTGACCTGGACTGGACCAGAGCCCCCCATCATCATCTGGCCGGCCCCTAAGCCTGCAAAGAAAGTCAGGATGTCAGGTGCGAATGTTCCTGAAGATGCTCAGAGCCAAAGCAGGCCACCATCATGTGTCCACACAGGAGCAGCACCGAGTGCCAGTCAAGGGGAAGTCTGCCCACCTTTGAAAGGGCATGGCAATCACAAAAACAAGACAAGAGGGAAAGGGAACTCACACACTCAAGCAGAGACAGAAACCGCATCGGCGGTTGCTTCATGCAAAGAAGGGCAGGCCAGGACAAAACAATGGGCTTCTAATCATGCTTTTTGGCTACCAAAGACAGGCCTCCTGGCCTTGGTTTTAAACCTCCGAATGTGCCTCCGCATGCAGGACTTCCACTCGCCTATCCTGGGCCCTGACGTTGGGTGGAACAGTCCCAGCTTGGGGACACTGACCAAGAAGTAGGCAGTGGCAATGGCCCCCTCCCCACCTTTTCACCCTTTCAAAGTCTTCTCTAGGGCTCTCTTCCCACAACCAGAGTCTGGGATGGTGGGGGAAAGGGGTGGCCTATTCCTGAAGCCTCCATCCTTTGACTTTCCCAAAGAGCAGAGGGGTGCCCCCCCCCCAAAGTGGCTGGACTGACTCCACTGTAGGGGTGCAGCCTGTGATGGCCTCTTTGCCTCAGACATCTGAGGATAATGATCATGAATTTGCAGAAGTCCCAATGTCTGAATTAAATGATCAGGTTTCTGCTGACCCTCAGGGGTTTGTGTATAGAGATGATGGTCAAGAGAGTACAGTTAGCCAGAGTGAACCTGAGGATTCTGGGATAGCTGGTTCCTAAGGCAAAGATGCTTTGATGCTAACAGAAAAAGATGCCGAGGAAAAGGTCGAACAGTCAAGGCCAAATAGTGATAGTGAAAGGAATGTACTAGTTGGCAAAGCGAGGGAGGTCAAGTTTTGAACGAAAAGGCCAGATTTATCAGGATTGCCACCTGGAATTAGGGAGGAGGTGCTCTGCAAGACTGAGAGAAAAGAGGAGTCAGGGAGAGGTTTCCCAAGGGAAACGGAATGCTTTTGCTATGGCTTTCTGAATAAATATAGGGCCTGTGAATCTATAGTCTTCAGTGAGTCCAACGTTTGGTTTTCATGTTTGGTTTCCTCTAAAGAGACCCTAGGCAGGTCTCCGCATCATCCCACCACCAAACTCCCAAGATTGAGAGGAAAAGAGGGGTCAGGGAGAGGTTTCCCAAGGGAAACGGAATGCTTTTGCTATGGCTTTCTGAATAAATATAGGGCCTGTGAATCTATAGTCTTCAGTGAGTCTAACATTTGGTTTTCATGTTTGGTTTCCTCTAAAGAGACCCTAGGCAGGTCTCCGCGTCATCCCACCACCAAACTCTCAAGATTGAGAGAAAAGAGGGGTCAGGGAGAGGTTTCCCAAGGGAAACGGAATGCTTTTGCTATGGCTTTCTGAATAAATATAGGGCCTGTGAATCTATAGTCTTCAGTGAGTCTAACGTTTTCATGTTTGGTTTTCATGTTTCAGTCTCCTCTGGTTGAGAAAGGCAGTATACAAATGCAATAAATAAATAAATAAACAGACAGGCCTCTCCTGGAGGGCCTCCCTGACCACTGCTCCCTTCTCCTTCAAAGAGACCCTAGGCAGGTCTCTGCGTCATCCCACCACCAAACCCCCAAGATTGAGAGAAAAGAAGGGTCAGGGAGAGGTTTCCCAAGGGAAACGGAATGCTTTTGCTATGGCTTTCTGAATAAATATAGGGCCTGTGAATCTATAGTCTTCAGTGAGTCTAATGTTTGGTTTTCATGTTTGGTTTCCTCTAAAGAGACCCTAGGCAGGTCTCCGCGTCATCCCACCACCAAACCTCCAAGATTGAGAGAAAAGAGGGGTCAGGGAGAGGTTTCCCAAGGGAAACGGAATGCTTTTGCTATGGCTTTCTGAATAAATATAGGGCCTGTGAATCTATAGTCTTCAGTGAGTCTAACGTTTGGTTTTCATGTTTGGTTTTCATGTTTCAGTCTCCTCTGGTTGAGAAAGGCAGCATACAAATGCAGTAAATAAATAAATAGGCAAGCCTCTCCTGTGGGGCCTCCCTGACCACCAGCTCCCTTCTCCTCTAAAGGGACTCCTAGACAGGGGGTCCGCCTCATCCCACCACCAACCGCCCACACACAAACTCCCCCCTGCAAGGCCCAGCCACAGACAGCTAAGGGGCGGCACATGCTACGGTACCTCTTTGCTGCTCCTCTGCACGGGGCGCGTGGAAGAGAGGAGGAGAAGGGGCAGAGTTAGAGGAAGGCGGGGCACATAGAAAACGAGGCGGGAAAAGGCAGCGCCAGGAGAAGGTTTGCTTGGGGTCTGTGCTGCAGTGCCCTTAGGCTGCCCAATGACCAGCCCCATACCTGAGAACTAGACAGCCAGCCCCACGTGATGACAAAAGTGGGGCACAGTCATTTCTTGGACAACCTGGATGGACATTTATTAGGGGGTACTTTGATTGTGTTTTTTCTGCATAGCAGAGGGTTGGACTGGATGGCCCATGTGATCTCTTCCAACTTCTGTTAGCGGTGGGTATGTGGGGTACATAGCAGCTTTTTGACCATCTTCTAGATCAGGGATGGGCAAATTTCCTAACCTGGGGGCCGCATGGCAGGCCGGAGCGGGGTGAGTGGGCCATGAGAGAGAGGGTTCTCCCCAAGTCCCCTCCCTGCCCTTTCCTCCCCTTCCTCTTCTCTTTCAGAGGCAGAAAGTGAAGGAAAGATGGGAAAGGTTTGGATCCCAAAAGGGTTGGCCTTGGCCAGGATGAGATGGTGGATGGGAGAGAAAAAGTGTATCCATTAGACCCCGTATTGCCCACTCCTGATATAGAATTCTAGAATCCTAGAGGTGGAAGAGACCCCGAAGCGCCATCCAGTCCACCCCCCTGCAAGAAGGCACAATCAAAGCACTCCCGATAAGACAGCCTCTGCGGAAAAGCCTCCAGAGAAGGAGACTCCACCACGCTCCCAGGCAGCCTTGGCCACTCTCCAACAGCTCTTACTCTCAGGAATTTCTTCCTAATTGTTTCAGTTGAATCTCTTTCCTTGCCATTTGAACCCATTGCCCCCTTGTGCCCTGGTCTCTGGAGCAGCAACAAGTCAATGAGACTCCCTTTGAAATCTTGAAACATGGTTCTCATGTTCCTTCCCTACCTTCTCTTCTCCCAGCCAAACATCCCCAGGAGGAAAGGAGGAAGGAGAAAGAGACAGAAGGAAGGAAGGAAGAGAGGGAGGGAGGGAAAGAAGGATGGAAGGAAGAAGGGTGGAAGGAAATGGAGGGAGGGAGAAGAGAGAGATGGAAGGAAGAACAAAAGGGAAGGAAGGAAGGATGAAAGGGTGGAAGGGAAGGGAAGAAGGGAGGGAAGGAGGAAGGAAATAGAGAAGGAAGGAAGGATAGGATGGTGAGGGAGAGGAGGGCTTGAGAAAAGAGCCCAAGGGGTCACATCTGGCCCCTAAGCCTGGGTTTGCCCATACTAATATAGAATGAATGAAGCGCCCACTTACATGAAGCACCCACTTATGCACACCCTCCCTGCTTGTCTGATTTGTTGTTGTTAAGTATTGTTATTTTACATACATACATATAATTAATTTACATACACACACATATATATATATATGTGTGTGTGTGTATATGTATTTAAAATAATAATAATATTTAACAACAACAAACCAGACAAGCAGGGAGGGTGTGCGTAAGTGGGCGCTTCATGTAAGTGGGCTTTATATATTCATGCTTTATCTCTCCTGTAGGAGACTCACAGCAGCTTAACATAAAAACATTAGTTTGGAATTTAAAATATACCAATATGCAAACATTAAAACAGGGTTAAATATAAATAGTATCCAAAAAATCCCAGTTAAAATCCATTAAAAATATGCAAAGTGTAAAAACCATTCCCCTGGCTGTACTGCAGTTCAGCTTTTCTGGAATCTAGGAGTGGGGAGCGTTCCCTAGATGGTTTCCTTCAGCTGCTGCCCTCGTAGCACCCATGGACAGGGCACGGCCTTGGCATTTGCTCCCTTGGTCAAATATTTGTCTCCTGCACTAAACCTGAGGATTCCCCCGCCACACCCTTCACGGCCACAATGAGGAATCACCTCCCGTGATGCCAGAGATAACGGAGGCGATGCCGGAGGGAGGGGCGCCACGCAGGCCTTCAATGGTGCGCTTGGACTGGTTGCTGAGGCGCTGCTTCAGTTCCAACTTCTCCGACTCCAGCTGGTCAATGTCCGCTTGCAAGGCATCCATGGTCTCCTCAAACTCCCTGAAGGAGGAAAGGACACATGGCATTAGAGGGGGCACAAAAGGCCACTTGAGCCCAGCTGACAAATTGTTGGGCAAGTGGGCTTATTTAACAAAAGACCCTCCTCATAAATGTACAGCAGAGTAACTTATTAGCAGCAGCGTGAGCCAGCACCAGTAGCCCAAAGTGATAGAAAGAACAAAAACACACAGACCAATGTTATCTCTTCCAAAGGAGGCTTCTCTTTGTAGTAAAATAATATGGTTGCACTATTTACCAGAACAAGGTTTCCATGACACAAATCAAGTTCTTTACACTTCCTTCTTTGCTTCCACACTGGGCTTCTCTCTCATGCAGATAAACAGCTTCGCTCTCACAGAGACTCTTCTCACACCGAATTTTCATTCAGTAGCTTTTCACACACAGCAACCTTCACACTGGAGCTTCACACACCATGGCCTTCAACCTGGGACTTCTCTCACTGAAGCTTCTCTCACCAGGGCTACTCATACTGAGGCCTACCTCACACTGAGGGCTCTCTAAGACCAGGGGTCCTCAAACCAAGGCCCGAGGTCCTTACCTGGCCCTTGCTCAGGGTCAACCTTAGTCTTTTCTAAGATCTACAGAGACGCTGGAACACCTCAGCAAGCGAGAATCCAAAAGTGGCAGGCTAAACCCAGAACCTCAACCAATGGCTGATACCAAATGAGAGACTCCCCCCTGGGCACACAGAAGACTGGGCGACTTGGAAGGCGCTGAACAGACTGCGCTCTGGCACCACGAGATGCAGAGCCAACCTTCAGAAATGGGGCCACAAAGTGGAATCCACGACATGCGAGTGTGAAGAAGCGCAAACCACTGACCACCTGCTGCAATGCACCCTGAGCCCTGCCACATGCACCATGGAGGACCTTCTTGCGGCAACACCAGAGGCACTCCAAGTGGCCAGATACTGGTCAAAGGACATTTAATCCACTACCAAGCTTGCAAATTTTGTGTTTTGTCTGTTTGTTTGTTTGTTTTGTTCTGTTAGAAATGTAATACAATTGACTGGTTGCCCTGACACGACAAATAAAGTCTTGAAAGCACACAACAACAATAATCCTATCTCATTAGCCAAAATCAGGCCCACACTTCCCATTGAAATACTAATAAGTTTATATTTGTTAAAATTGTTCTTCATTTTAATTATCGTATTAAGTGTTTCTTGCACAACAAATAAGATATGCGCAGTGTGCAGAGGAATTAATTCATTTTTTTTTTCAAATAACCCAGCCCTCTAACTGTGACCTGGCCCTCTGCTTAAAAAGTTTGAGGACCCCTGCTAAGACTAATGCCTCTCTCACACTGAGGCCTTCTTATACTGAGGCATACTAACACATTGAGACCTTTCATAGAATCAAAGATTCAAAGAGTTGGAGGAGACCTCCTGGGCCATCATCCAGTCCAACCCCATTCTGCCAAGAAGCAGGAATATTGCATTCAAAGCACCCCTGACAGATGGCCATCCAGCCTCTGTTTAAAAGCTTCCAAAGAAGGAGCCTCCACCACACTCCGGGGCAGAGAGTTCCACGGCTCTCACAGTCAGGAAGTTCTTCCTCATGTTCAGATGGAATCTCCTCTCTTGTAGTTTGAAGCCACTGCTCCGTGTCCTAGTCTCCAAGGAAGCAGAAAACAAGCTTGCTCCCTCCTCCTCCCTGTGGCTTCCTCTCACATATTTATACATGGCTATCATCATGTCTCCTCTCAGCCTTCTCTTCTTCAGGCTAAACATGCCCAGCTCCTTAAGCCGCTCCTCATAGGGCTTGTTCTCCAGACCCTTGATCATTTTAGTCTCCCACAGAGACCTCTCACAGACTGAGACTATTAAGCTACAGGCAGACCTGCTTACATACAACTGCAGCGTTTGCTGAGTTATTGCATCCATTTAACCCTTTCAGTGCCTGACTCACATTTTCGTAATTAAAAATATCTAGGTTAATTTTTAATATTTCTGACAGATTGCCAACCCAACTAGAGGACATGTGACAACTTCCAGCCAGCCATGTCTAACCTCCCTCCAGTTCCTCCTTTTGAGGGAGTTGCCTCCTCTGCTGTCCCCAGGTCTGGGTAAGCTCCTCACAAAGTCTCATCAGGGAAACAGAGACAGGGAAATGTCCATGTGGCTGTCCTCCAGATGTTCTGGAACCACAACTTCAAGGAGGCCAACCCAACCAGAACAGATAACAGTACAGGATGCTGGGACTGCACTATGCCAATGCCTCATCTAACCAGCAAGCAGCCAAGGAGCTTTTGCTGTAGACTTCATGGCGGCTCCCACTTCTGGCAGCCCAGCCCTGTTACAGGTTGGGCAAAAAGGAGGAATGTAAGAAGAGAATGGGCTCTGAAGCACTCAAAAACTTGATGGATGAGGTTTCCAGAAACAGGGAACAGTTTGTGTTCTGTCCCCAAGAATCCATATAACAGCCCTCACTTGATATAGCAGTGCTCTCCATCCTCTTACCCAGTGGTCTTTGAGGGCATCAAGGGGGTTGTGGGCTTGACCCTTATCCACGCTGTGTTCGTAGAGTGTCAAGAGTCCATCTGCCCTCTCCCAAACAGCCCAACTACCAGCTCCCCCTCTTACTTCTCTTTCTTCTTGAGCAGAGATTGGGTCTCGTCCAACTTGGTCTGGATCTTCTCCACCCGGTCATCTGCGTCCTTGGAGGCGCTGTCCAGCTTCTTCTCCAGCAGGCTGAGGCGCACATTGGCTTCACTCAGCTCCTCCCCCTGGGCAGCAGAAAGGAGGGAAGAAGGGAGACCCAAAGCTCTATGAGGCCTCCAAAGGGGGGAAAGCAGCACCGCTACCATTGACCCCCAACCCAAATACCCCTGCTGATGCTCGCATCACTGAGGAGCCCAGCAGCAAGACAGAAGCTGCACATTCCACTAAACCTTGTTCCAAGGGCCCACCTGCCGTGGACATCTGCACAAACCATTCCATATCTGGGGTAGTGTAGGAAAAACAGGAGGGACAAGCCCCTGACCTTGATTTTGAGGGACTTCTTGAGCTCCTTGATGACCGTCTCCCGGTCCTCCAGCTTCAGCCCCAGGCCCTCTGCATCGGTGATCTCTGCCCGCAAGGCAGCCGCTCGCAGGTCCACTGGGGGAGAGGGCTGCAAGGGCAACAGGGCAACTCAGGGTCAAGGAAACACAACCAGGCACCTCATCCCACCCCGTCCTGTTGTGGCACTCGCTCATAGAATCATAGAATCATAGAATCCTAGAGTTGGAAGAGACCTCCTGGGCCATCCAGTCCAACCCCATTCTGCCAAGAAGCAGGAATATTGCATTCAAATCACCCCTGACAGATGGCCATCCAGCCTCTGTTTAAAAGCTTCCAAAGAAGGAGCCTCCACCACATTCCGGGGCAGAGAGTTCCACTGCTGAACGGCTCTCATACTATTATTTATTATTTATTTACTTCATTTCTACCCTGCCTTTCTCGACTGCGGAGGGGACTCAAGGCGGCTTACAAATCTGGCAAATATTTAATGCCGCACAGATAAACAATCAAACACATCTCATCAAAATACAAAACAATCTAAACATATATGCAATTAAAATATTTATTTGTTTGTTTATTTGCGACATTTATATGCCGCCCTTCTCACCTCGAAAGGGACTCAAAGCGGCTTACAAGTTATATATACATACAATTTATTATTAGCATGGTACAATATTAGTTTTAAATATTGCAATATTGTACTATATCAATTATACTGTAGTATTGTTGGTTTGTTTTTGTTTCTTTTTGGTCGTGTCAGGAGCAACTTGAGAAACTGCAAGTAGCTCCTGGTGTGAGAGAATTGGCCGTCTGCAAGGACGTTGCCCAGGGGACGCCCAAATCAATTGATGTTTTTTATCATCCTTGTGGGAGGCTTCTCTCATGTCCCCGCATGCTGGAAGCTGATAGAGGGAGCTCATTCGCCTCTCCCCGGATTCGAACCTGTGACCTGTCGGTCTTCAGTCCTGCCAGCACAGGGGTTTAACCCACTGCACCACCAGGGGCTCCGTGTAGTATTATTAGTAATACTACATGTAATATAAATATATAATTATAATATCATATTATTTTTAACAAGGCGACGCTATGAATTTATATTTTATTGATATGTTTAATTTTTATTATATGTTATGTTTTGAGTTGTACTTTTAATATTGTAAGCATTGAATTTTACCCGGGGGGGGGGGGGGGGGGGGGGGGTAGGGGGGGGGGGGGGGGGGGGGGGGGGGGGGGGGGGGGGGGGGGGGGGGGGGGGGGGGGGGGGGGGGGGGGGGGGGGGGGGGGGGGGGGGGGGGGGGGGGGGGGGGGGGGGGGGGGGGGGGGGGGGGGGGGGGGGGGGGGGGGGGGGGGGGGGGTCCCAGACCAAGCACAATAATAATAATAATATGTTGTGGCGCAGCTGGCTGAGTGTCAGCTGCATTAAGATCACTCTGACCAAAAGGTCATGAGTTCGAAGCCAGCCCGGGTTGGAGTGGGTTTCCAACCAATTGTGTAGCCTGTTGTCGACCTTTGCAACCCAAAAGACAGTTGCATCTGTCAAGTAGGAAAATTAGGTACCACCTTAAAGTGTGGGGAGGCTAAATTAACTAATTTATGAGGCCATAAAAAAACACTCCAGCAAAAGCATGCGGGGAATGCGGAAGTACTTCATCAGTGTCGCAGATGGACGATGAAAGCGACAGCTCCCCTGGCGGCCAGAAAAAGTTAAATAGCCTCTGGCTATGTCTGTATATGTTGTATGTCAAAATTGGCATTGAATGTTTGCCATATATGTGTACACTGTAATCCGCCCTGAGTCCCCTGCGGGGTGAGAAGAAGGGCGGAATAGAAAAGCTGTAAATAAATAAATATAAATAAGAACAGAAAAGTAAGTAAGTAAGTAAGTAAGTAAGTAAATAATAAACTATTATTATTAGTATTATATTGCATTACATTATAATATTATAAATATTATATGCATATACAATATATTATATATTATATTACATTATATTATTAGAATAGAACAGGAGACAAGGTGGAACTGTCCCCTGCCCCCCCCCCCCCCCCACTCTTCACTCCGGCCCAGAGTGTCAGTTGAGACATATCCATCACTGCAGTACAAGAGAGGAGGACCAAGAAAGTGGCACGAATCAGAGTGCTCACTCTCGTTGGTGCTCAAACAAGCACCCGAAGGCGTCCCCGCCCTCCCCACTCACTTGGCCAAGGAGGAGCGTGGGGCTTGCTACAAGGCTCCCTGTCCCCCTTGGCCCAAGGCAGTTGTTGACAAGTGAGAGAAGCCCTTTGCCTCACCTTGGTCTGGGGCTTGTCAGCGTCGTATTCACCCTCCTGCATCGCGGTGGCCATCTTGTTCATGGTAGCAATCAAGATGTTGCAGGACTGGCGCAAGCACTCGTGGGGGTTGATGCCCTGTGCACCATAGATCTGAGAGGGAACAGGGAAGGTTAATAATAATAATAATAATAATAATAATAATAATAATAATAATGATAACACTTTATTTGTACCCCACAACCATCTCCGCAAGGGACTCGGTGCGGTTTACATGAGGCCGAGCCCAAACACAACAATACAAGCAATAATAGCAACAACACAAGCAATTAAAAACATAAACAATAAAATACACAAAATTATCAAGACAACACACAATTAAAAACAGTGGGAAGGCCCCATGATTCAGTCCCCTCTGCTACACACCAACACCTATGGGGCAAACTCAGGACAGCTGTGATTTAGGACCACTTGGGCCAGCTGTGAACCCTGCTCCATCCATCCTTGTACTGGTTGTGTCTGAAGGCGGAACTGTAACCTGTTAATCCAGACTCCATCTTCTAGCCCAGTGCTTCTTAAGCAATCTTATAGGAGGAACTGGCAGTATCTATGCTTCATCTATGCTGATGATTGTGCCATTACTGCTCAAGCAGGGAGCTTTGAGATGGTGGAACAGAAGCTCCCCGAAGCTCTAGGTGTCCTTACTGCCTATTACAGGGAAAACCAGCTGATCCCTAATCCATCTTAAACACAGACATGTGCCTTTCACCTCAAGAACAGAGAAGCAACCCGAGCTCTGAGGATCACCTGGAAAGGAATCCCACTGGAGCATTGCAGCGCACCCAAATACCTGGGAGTCACTCTGGACCGTGCTCTGACCTACAAGAAGCACTGCCTGAACATCAAGCAAAAAGTGGGCACTAGAAACAATATCATACGAAAGCTGACTGGCATAACCTGGGGATTACAACCAGACAAAGTGAAGACATCTGTTGTGTCTCAGAATAAGATTCACCTTGCTCTCTACAACAACCCAGCCACAGTTGTGAGATATATAGTTTATTGTGAGGTTTCCAAACAAAAGGCAGTTCATAAGCAGTGAAAAGATCAATAATACAGATTATAATCCAATATAATCCATATTGCCAAAGCAGGAGACTTGAAGCACAGGTTCAGTATAAAGTCCATGAAATAGCATGAAGAAAGTCCATGAAATAGCATGAAGCAGCCTTCCCCAAGGCCAGTAGCTGGAGCCAGCCATAAAGCAACGTTGCAACTAACACCCAAAAATCCCCAGAGCAGAGCATATATTCACTAAACATCAAAACAATCAGCTTTCCCACCACACTGATGATCTCAACACTTGGCCGCAATCCGTGGGCTCCGTCTCAACACCTGGGCACCTTGACCCTGGTTCTCAGCGTCTGTCTTATCATCTGTATCATCTGTATCACCTGTCTTATCATCTGCGGCCTCTCTACAGATACAGGCTGTGACTGAGAAAACTGAAAGCCAACATCATCAGCTGCACTCTCTGCACTCTCACTCTCATCCCCATCATGCTGTTGTTGTTGAACCACAACATTATCTGCCCTTGCGCTATGCTACTCTGCTTCTGAGTACGCATGCCCAGTGTGGAACACATCTCACCACGCTACAACAGTGGATGTGGCTCTTAATGAGACATGCCGCATTATCACGGGGTGTCTGCGCCCTACACCACTGGAGAAATTACACTGTTTACATTGCACCACCTGACATCCGCCGGGAAGTAGCAGCCAATAGTGAAAGGACCAAGGCAGTGACATCTCCAGCTCATCCACTGTTTGGGTATCAGCCAGCACGTCAATGACTTAAATCACGAAATAGCTTTTTAAGATATACAGAGACATTCCCTGGAACACCTCAGCAAGCGAGAGTCCAAAAGTGGCAGGTTCAAACCCAGAACCTCAACCAATGGCTGATACCAAATGAGAGACTCCCTCCTGGGCACACAGAGGACTGGGCGACTTGGAAGGCGCTGAACAGACTGTGCTCTGGCACCACGAGATGCAGAGCCAATCTTAAGAAATGGGGCTACAAAGTGGAATCCACGGCATGCAAGTGTGGAGAAGAGCAAACCACTGACCACCTGCTGCAATGCAACCTGAGCCCTGCCACTTGCACAACGGAGGACCTTCTTGCGGCAACACCAGAGGCACTCCAAGTGGCCAGATACTGGTCAAAGGACATCTAATCAACTACCAAGCTTGCAAACTCTGTGTCTTTTGTATGTCTGTTTGTTTGTTCTGTCAAAAATGTAATACAACTGTTCGGTTGCCTGACACGATAAATAAAATAAATAAACCTGCTAACCCAGCCCAGTGCTTCTTAAGCAACCTTACAGGAGGAACTGGCAATATCCCATATTTGTTTCTCTTTCTTTCTCTGGAAACTCCACAGGAACCAGTTGTTGGTGGCCAGAGGCACCAGTCCACAAACCACTGTGTTGCTTAGCCCTGCCTCTGAGTTCATGGACCAAATGTTTATTACCAGGGACACCAACTGGAGACTGGAAAAAAGGGCAGTAACTTCCGATGTTCCCAGGTGAAGCAAGGGCTTCCTTACCTGCTCGCTGGCCTTGAAAGCCAGGTCTTCCAGTTTCACTGCCTGCAACCCCTCGTTCTCCGTCAGGGGGGCAATCATCTGCGCCCCGGCAGCCGCCACTTCCTGCAGCACAGCCACCACCCAGGTCAGGTGCTTGCGGCAGTCCAACAGGGTGTCTGAGACCTGGAGGATCAAGGGAGCAAATGCCAGGTGTCAGTGGGGAGGTTCCTTGCAGAGGAGGGGGAGACTGGGGCCCCCATCCTAGATGACCTACTTGCTGTCCAAAGCCAAGTGCGGCAGGAATGCCGGGCGCATCGGTGCCCGGCATACGGCGCCTGATCTTCTTGCAGAACTGCCGGATGTCGCTGCAGGAGGTCTCCAGGTCCTTCAGGAGAATGGCCAAGTCGGAGGCCTCCTGCCCAATCTGCCGGCACAGAAGGCAAAATCAGCAAGGCCTCGCCTGGGGTCTCAGAAGCCTGGAATGACCTCCCAATGGAGGCCGTTGTGCCCTTTGTCATCCCACCTGCTCACAGGGCTTACCTGCAGGAAGGAGCGCAGTCTGCCCACTTCCACGCTCATGCAGTCCAAGGCACTCTGGGTGAACTGCAACACAAGCACACGCCTTGTCATTTGGTGCAAAGTGGCACACACTGGCATGGGGAGGTGCCTAGGCCATCACCTCACCTGGCTCCTGTATTTTTGCCTTCTGATTGGCTGGGGGAAACCCAGGTCAACCTATGGCAGCGTTTCTCAACCTGGGGGTCAGGACCCCTACGGGGGTCATGGGGGGGGGGTGTCAGAGGGGTCATCAAAGACCATCAGAAAACACAGTATTTCCTGTTCGTCATGGGGGCTCTGTGTGGGAAGTTTGGCCCAATTCTATCATTGGTGGTGTTCAGAATGCTCTTTGATTGTAGGTGAACTATAAATCCCAGAAACTACAACTCCCAAATGTCAAGGTCTATGTTCCCCAAACCCCACCAGTGTTTTTACATTTGGGCATATTGAGAATTCGTGCCTTTGATTGTAGGTGAACTATAAATCCCAGCAACGACAACTCCCAAATGTCAAGGTCTATGTTCCCCAAACCCCACCAGTGTTTACATTTGGGCATATTGAGAATTCATGCCTTTGATTGTAGGTGAACAATAAATCTCAGCACTTACAGCTCTCAAATGTCAAGGTCTATTTTCCCCAAACCCCACCAGTGTTTACATTTGGGCATATTGAGAATTTGTGCCAAGTTTGGTCCAGATCCATCATTGTTTGAGTCCACAGTGCTCTCTGGATGTAGGTGAACTACAACTCCCAAAACTCAAGGTCAATGCCCACCAAACCCTTTCAGTATTTTCTGTTGGCCATGGGAGAACTGTGTGCCAAGTTTGGTTCAATTCCATCCTTGGTGGAGTTCAGAATGCTCTTTGATTGTAGGTGAACTATAAATCCCAGTAACTACAATTCCCAAATGACAAAATCAATCCTCCCAAGCCCAACAGTATTCAAATGTGGGCATATCGAGTATTGGTGCCACATTTGGGAAAATACGTCCTGCAGATCAGATATTTACATTATGATTCACAACAGTAGCAAAGTTATGAAGTAGCAACTAAAATAATGTTATGGTTGGGGGTCACCACACACAAGAGGAACTGTATTAAGGGGTCGCGGCACTGGCCTATGGCAATCCAATCCCCATGTTCACTCTCTGAGGGAGCCCTGAGAAGCAGCCTGCATCCTACAGAAAGGGAGGCAGGTCTCCCAGCACCCCTGGCAAAACAACCACTCACCTTGATGTGGTCAGCCAGCTGCATTGTGCAGTCCTCAGCTTGGTCCGCCAAATGGATGCTATACAGGTGCTGTAAAGGAAGAGGACATGCTGAAGGGACACAAGCAGCTAGCTTTTGCCCATGGGCCAAGGCAACTCCAAAGGTGGAGCTGCTCACACAGGTATACTTCCAGGCAGCTTTCCTGTCTGTTGGTCCTTTGCTCAGGATCATGTGCAGGCGGCCATAGAAAACAAAACCCTCACAGGAAGCCTGGTTTGGGGGCCACTTTGAGAACCAGGTTTAGAAAGACTACAAGAACTGGTAAACAAGCCCGGAGCTTCCCTGACTCTTCACAACCACCTGGAGGAAGTGTTGGAGTTCAGCCTGTGATTGTGTTTCAGAATCAGGGTGCTTTGGATGTAGGAAGTCATAATATATATTTTTTTTGTCGTGTCAGGAGCGACCTGAGAAACTGCAAGTCGCTTCTGGTGTGAAAGAATTGGCCGTCTACAAGGATGTTGCCCAGGGGATGCCTGGATGATTTGATTTGATGTTTTATCATCCTTGTGGGAGGCTTCTCTCATGTCCCCGCATGAGGAGCTGGAGCTGATAGCGGGAGCTCATCCGCCTCTTCCTGGATTCGAACCTGCGACCTGTRGGTCTTCAGTTCCCCACTGCGCCACCGGGGGCGCYTAATAATAATAATAATAATAATAATAATAATAATAATAATAATAATAATCTTTATTTGTACCTCGCTACCATCTCCCCAAGAGACTRGGTGCGGCTTACGTGAGGCCAAGCCCAAAATACATCAAACAAAACATCAATGAACAATAAAATACAAATCATATAAATCACAAAAACAATCAATAGTGACATAAACAATTTTAAAAATGGCCGGGCCAAATGTAATAGATTAAAATTGAAAATATGCTGACGTGAACAAGGTAAAAATAACTAGGATAGGATTTTTCGGAGAGAAATGAGGGAGCATAGTCCATCCTAAGTCATGCCAATAAATGTCAAGATGGCAATGATTTGGTCAATGATACTGATGCAGAGAAGGACCAGGAGACCCCTGTGCAAAGTGTAGTTTCCCATGGGAATGTCCCTGAAGGGTGTGGGAACGATGGTGTGCTCCCTGAATAGCTATCAGAGAGTTCCCAGGATTTGGGGCTTGAAAACAACTCGGCACCTGCAGAAGTTAATGAGCAAATAGATAGACGGCAGGAGATTAGTCAAAACAGACAAGCCGAACAGTGGCTTCAGCATTCTGCCAGGCTCCGACAGAAAAAGATAAGGGAATCTCAATTAAAGCGAAACCAATTTCTGAGCGCTTGGGATAGCTTAACAAGGGGATAAAAGTTCCAAGTGTGGGAAATATAGTCAGATGAAGCATCATTTAGAATCAAGTGTAGTTATAATAGTTGTAACAATATAATACTACTAATAATAATATATTCTTTTATATTTTATATTAAATGTAATATTACGAATAATATTACAGTATAATGTTATAGTACAATGTAATACAAAATATTAATATTGTGCTATGGAAATAATATAATATATTGTATTTACTTTTTACTTGTAAGCCGCTCTGAGTCCCCTTCAGGGTGAGAAGGGTGGCATATAAATGTCATAAATAATTAAATAAAATAGTTAGTGTCCTTGTTTCATGGGAGCCTTGCTGGGAAGATTCTTGTATAAATATTTCTTGTTTCATGGTTTGGATTCTTGGATTGTATGAATGCCTGCCTATTCATGCCTTGGATTAATGTTTCCTGGTTTTCTGAATTATATTAGAGAAGTGTGGATTTTGCTGAACTTTATCCTGGACTACTTTTGCTCTTGCTTATCTTCTTACCTAATTGGATTTACCTATTCCTTTAAAGTGCTTTTTACTTTGCTGTTTTTTTTTTTAAATTATCTTCAATAAAAGGATTGTTTCCCAATCAACAGTGTGGTGTTTACAGTTGAAGGGCTTTTCCTGTGCTTGAATGCAACAGAAAGCTTAATTTTCATGACAATCCCTTGAGTGCTAGAGGATGGGAGGCCATCGTGTAGCCAATGTTTGGGGGAGCCCCGCCCCACCCGGCCCCTCACCTGATAGTACTTGATCGCTTTGGTCAAGGGCTCCACGTTGACTGTCTCATCCAGCTGGTCCTTGTGCAGCAGCTCAATCAGGAAGTCCAGGGAGCGCTCGTGCACGCTCATCTCCGGGTAAAGCGTCCCCACTTTCTTGTAGACCTCCACACTGCACTTGTTCAAGGCCCTGTGAGTGGCGGGAAACAGAAAGGGAGGAAGCACAAGCCATGAGGCGAGGCCCAGAACTCCTGTTAAGGCTCTTTTGCAGGGTCAGCCCCACAGCTCATCAACAGGGGCACTCACTGTTCGTATTTGTGCAGCGTTGCTTGCAGAAGACTGAGGGAATACACTAATCCGGCGGCAAAGCTCAGCTGCTCCCCTGGAGCCCCACGGAGGCCGGTTCGCTCTGCACAGTTCTCATTGAGATCAAACTTCTCTTGGGCCTGCTTGCTGATCAGCTCAGCCTGTAAACAGAGAACAAATGGCTGTCAGAGAAGACTCCCAGTCCTCCCCGCCTCAACATCTAAGCTACTGCTTGAAAGCAGGCCCTGGCTGGGCAGCAAATTCCACACCAAGGTAGGGGTGCCAGGGGACTGCAGACCCACTTCCAATGTCTTCCTATACTCATTTTGATTCCTGCACAATACTTGGTTGTTTTAATCCACAATTACCAAATGTCAAGGTCTATTCTCCCCAAACTCCACCAGTGTTTACATTTGAGCATATTGACTGTCGTTCCAAGTTTGGTCCAGATCCATCATTGTTTGAGTCCACAGAGTTCTCTCGACGTAGGTGAACTACAGATCCCAAACTGAAGGTCAATGCGCAATAAACCTTCCCAGTATTTTCTATTGGTCATGGGAGTTCTGTGTGCCAAGTTTGACCCAATTCCATGGTTGGTGGGGTTCGGAATGCTCTTTGATTGGAGATGAACTATAAATCCCAGCAACTACAACTCCCAAATGGCAAAATCAATCCCTGCAACTCCACCAGTATTCAGATTTGAGCGTTTCGGGTATTTGTACCAAATTTGGTCCAGTGAATGAAAATCCATCCTTCATTGGAGATATTTTCATGACAATTCATAACAATAGCAAAATGACAGTTATGAAGTAGCAACGAAAATAATGTTCTGGTTGGTGGTCACCACAACATGAGGGACTGTTTTAAGGGGTCGCGGCATTCGGAAGGTTGAGAAACATGGTCTAACTAGCAGCAGATCTCAAAGCCCTTTTCTACATAGAATTAATGTCTTGGCTGCTTTTGTTTTTATGCTACGATTTGTTGATTTGTGTTGCATTGTTTGTTAATTATTACTACTATATATATAGTATTTTTGTGTAAGCTGCCCCAAGTCCCTTTTGGGAGAGGGGGTGGGATACAAATAAAGTGTTATTATTTTATTTTGTGTTGTAGAGCATAATTTTTTCTACATCACTCCTGGTCTGAAACCGTAATAAAATTCATTCACTCATTTCTTCTACAGCAAACGTCAGCTCTGGTAGTGCCGAACCAACATTGCCAGTGAGGAACCAACAAGATCAGTTGCTTCACGGCTCCATGAGCAAACAGGGAGGTTTGTGCACCCAGAGGAACACTGTGGCTTTTGGAATATTTGGAGCCTGGACACAATACCATCTTGTCTCCTGGATATGTCATCAGCTGGAGACACACACACCCAGCACCAACTGACGGTTTGGGCCAGAGTGAAGAGAGAGGGGGCCAGGGAACAGTTCCACCTTGTCTCCTGTGCTATTCTAATAATATAATATAATGTAATGTAATGTAATATGTTGTATGTACATATAATATTTATAATACTGTAATGTAATGCAATATAATAATTTTATTTATTTATCATGTCAGGAGCAGATCGATCAGTTGTATTACATTTTTTAACAAACAAACAAAACACAAAATTTGCAAGCTTGGTAGTTGATTAAATGTCCTTTGACCAGTATCTGGCCACTTGGAGTGCCTCTGGTGTTGCCGCAAGAAGGTCCTCCATTGTGCATGTGGCAGGGCTCAGGTTGCATTGCAGCAGGTGGTCTGTGGTTTGCTCTTCTCCACACTCGCATGTCGTGGACTCCACTTTGTAGCCCCATTTCTTAAGGTTGGCTCTGCATCTCGTGGTGCCAGAGCGCAGTCTGTTCAGCGCCTTCCAAGTCGCCCAGTTTTCTGTGTGCCCAGGGGGAGTCTCTCATTTGGTATCAGCCATTGATTGAGGTTCTGGGTTTGAGCCTGCCACTTTTGGACTCTCGCTTGCTGAGGTGTTCCAGCAAGTGTCTCTGTAGATCTTAGAAAACTATTTCTTGATTTAAGTCGTTGACGTGCTGGCTGATACCCAAACAGGGGATGAGCTGGAGATGTCTCTGCCTTAGTCCTTTCACTATTGGCTGCTACTTCCCGGCGGATGTCAGGTGGTGCAATACCGACTAAGCAGTCTAATTTCTCCAGTGGTGTAGGGCGCAGACACCCCGTGATAATGTGACATGTATCATTAAGAGCCACATCCACTGTTTTAGCGTGGTAAAACAGGGGATGTATAATAATATAATAATAATACTATTAACAATAATAATAATAATATATTATTATATATTTGTATTACATGTAATATTACTAATAATATTACGATATAGTGGTGTGGTGCAATATAGCAATGTTTAAAGCTGATATTGTACAATGCTAATAATATAACATATTGTATTTATATATACCTGGTAAGCTGCTCTGAGTCCCCTTCGGGGTGAGAAGGGCGACATATAAATGCCGTAAATAAATGAAATAATAAATAAATATAGCCCTCCTTCCCTTCACCCTCTATCCACTCACCTTGCAAATCAGCCGCGGGATGAGAAGGAGCACCAGGAGGCAGTCGTGGTCCCCGCCATGGCGCAGGAAACTGTCAGGCATGAAAGAGGTGAGGAGGGAGACGTGCCGGTTGGCCTGCTGGACCTCCATCTGGCGCAACTCCATTTCGATAGCCTGCAGCGGACGATGAGGTTGGGATCAGAGAGTGGTTAGGAGAGGAAGCAGGGCTTGCCTCCACGGCCTCATGGGCTCACCAGCTCCACAGAGCCATACCTTCGCGTGAGCTTTCGTCTCGGCAAACTTGATCTTGAAGTCGAACATTTCTGGGGGCGGCTGCTGCTGCTTCTCTGCTGAGGCCTCCTGCTGGCTCATCAGCTCCCGGTTGACGTCCTAGAAGGCAGAGAAGAAGCCTCAGGCACTCCAAATGCCAACAATGTCCACCAAAGGAGAGGAGAGCAGTATGGTTCAAGGGGAAGAAGGAGAAGAGAGGCACAGCCACACCTGCAGGCCACTGTGCCAGAACCTCTGCATGAGCATGACACGCTCCCGTCCCACATGGACCTTCAAGCAACAGGCACTTGCATGGGAACATACCTGCCCCTGCCCTCCCAGCCTCTTTTCCTGGAAGAGCCATTGGCCAAGCACTTTCTGAACTCAGCAAGGCTGAAGCCCTTTGGCAGGACTAGGTGCCCTGGAGCCCCAACCAGAGGAGGCCCACCTGCTTAGAAGTATTATGTACCTGCAAGTGTGCGGTCAGCTCTCGATACTTCTTGATAGTTTGCTGGTAGTCGGCCACCGTCTCTTGGGCGGCCTCGACCCGCTTCTCCGCCTCACGGACCCGAGCCGTTGCCATGTCCAGTTGCTCCCGCAGCTCCAGCTCCGTTTCCCGGGCATTTTCCTGCAGCTCGTCATTCATCTCGTTCATGGCTTCCTGGAAGCAGCAGAAGGAAAGTGGCCTCCAGAAACAGGTGGGAGGGAAGAGCAGGTGTGTGATACCTGGGATCCCTGGGAGTGGTTATATGGATCAGGAGAACATCCAGCCAGCTCTCCTAGGAACACACCAGGCCCTCAGGACCCCTTCCCATGAAAGAGGGGGAAGACCCACTGGGGCACAGCCAGGAACCACAGCCCACTCCTCTCCGTCCTCTCCCTCCAAACTCACCAGGTCCCCAACAGTCTCGCGCAGCTCCCGGACCTTCTCTTCTAAGTCCAGGTTCCTCTCAGTCAGCGTCTCCACCATCTCCTCAGCCCCTAAAGCAGCGTCCACCTTGGAGAGGGGAACATTCATTTATTTATTTACAGCATTTATATTCCGCCCCTCTTATCCCAAAGGGGACTCGGGGTGGATCACAGAACACATACACACCAAACATTCAATGCCATCAGACAGGACAGACAACAGATAGAGGTATTATGTCAGCAATTTTCCCAACTTCAGTGTCCTGAAGACTATGCTCAATTCTGGCCACAGGGGGTGCTTGTCATATGTTCTGCAGTTGATGGTTGGTGATGGAAGGGTTAATGTGACTATTCGTTCTAGAGGGTTTGGTAATCTGGAAGTGGGAGTTCATGGGTGAAAGCAATTAGGGGTGGAGATGTGCAGGAGATGGGTTGCAGCTGGGTGTGACTGGATTTAAGGAGCTAACCTTGAGACTGATCTTTGGGAGAAAAGTATCTGTTGCATTTTGGTGGTGGATGCTGCTGGTTTTTCCCCCAGGTCTGTTGGATTTTTTGGTATCCTGACCTGTCTCCTTTAATCATGTAATCCTGGAACCTTGAAGCTTTGGACTGGCTTTTCACTACAGTATAGGCTCTTGATCCCTGGACTTTGTTTATTGAACTCTCGGCATTTGACCATTGGACTGGACCCTTTTGATTACGAAGTTATTTTTGCTATCAGTTTTTGTTTATTCTGTAGCTGCGTGCTATCTTTGTGTTTTATATTTTGGACTATAAAAACAGCCAGCAAGTAAGTGCTGTTTTAATTAAACTGTTTGTTAAAACTGGGAGTTTGATTAATCTCTACCTAAACAAGGTAGAGCCCTAGCAACGTGACACAGGTCCTGCAAGTGATTCTATTGTATGTTTCCCCTGGAGGCTGGCCACGCTGTCTAAATTACCTCCCCACTTAAGTGGCGCCTAATTTCTCTACTCACAGCTCACAGCTGTTTTCAAACTGTTTAGGTGGACAGTAAGCTGGGCTGAAGGTTGAGTGCTCACCCCAACCCGGGTTCAAACTGCCAGCCTTTTGGTTGGGAAAGATCTATTGCTGCTGGTGATTAACCAGCTGTACTAAAGCCCTGCCCTGCTAAAGTCTGGAACAAGGTTAATCTTGACCTCAGGCAAGGTGAGTTCAGAGGTTCAATCAGATTGTGGCCTCTGCGTTTCTACAACTGACCAACTTGGCAGAGACCACCCATCCCTTGAAAGCAGGGCTGAGCCTCCACTGGGTGTCACTTCAGAGAGTTTGTAGTATCTTCACCTGTAAATGCCCTGGATTAATCCCACAAACAAAACAGTTTTATACTCTTGAGTATTTTTCCCCTGCATACTGTATATACTCGAGTATAAGCCTAGTTTTTCAGCCCTTTTTTAGGCTGAAAAAGTCCACCTCGGCTTATACTCAACTCAAGGCTATTTATGATTTTACTCTATTACCATTATTATTTGTATTGCATTTATTATTTTACTCTATTTATTATTATTATTACAAATTTTCATTTTACTCTATTATTATCACACTTATTATTTTATTCTATTAATGCATATCAAAGGCCGAAGAGAGGTCCTGGCAGTGCCTGGAGCAGTCTTTTGTTGAGAGGTGATTAGATGTCCTTGTTTGTTTCCTCTCTGTTGTTGCGCTGTTCTAATTTTAGAGTGTTTTAAGGGTCTATCTAATCACCTCTCAACAAAAGATTGCTCCAGGCACTGCCAGGCAATCAAATGCTAATCAAGGTGGTCAGTTGAAACATTCACACCTAGCTCCAGCAGACAAGAGTCCTTTGTCTCACCCTGGTCATTCCACAGATATATAAACCCTTTTCCTAGTTCCAACAGACCTCACTACCTCTGAGGATGCTTGCCATAGATGCAGGCGAAACGTCAGGAGAGAATGCCTCTAGAACATGGCCATATAGCCCGAAAAAAACCTACAACAACCTAGTGATTACGACAATACATTTAATATAATTTTATTGGTATCTATTTTTTGAAATGTACCAGTAGCGGCTGCATTTCCCACCCTCGGCTTATACTCAAGTCAATCAGTTTTCCCAGTTTTTTGTGGTCAAATTAGGTGCTTGGGCTTATATTTGGGTCGGCTTATACTTGAGTATATACAGTAATTATTTTTTGATCTTGCAGAAGAATAGCAAAAAGGGGTGGGGCAGTGCTAACCTGCTCCTTCAGTTCGTCCACAGTCCTCTCGGCCTGCTTCAGCTCTTCCTGCAGCTTCTCCTTCTGCTGGCGGAGGGACTCCAGCTCCGTGTTCTTCTTCTCCATGTGCTTCTGGAGCTTCACGTGCTCCTGCTTCTCCGAGGCAGACAAGTCCCGCATCCTTTCAAGGCAAAACAGTGTCAGAGTCACTGACTGGACCTGGACAGGAGCTGCCCTCTGGGCCCAGGGCTGGACCCCCCACCCCCATTCCTATGCCAGTTGGAGAAAGAGCCACTGCCTCTCCCCAGGGCTCTTGCCCAAGTGAATATGCCCCTCTGGGACCAGGTGCCCCTGCCAACTTCAGTCAATAAGGTGGGATTGGGCACAGACTGAAGAGACTCACTGGATTGCTGTCCCTCCTGCTCCCCTTCCTCCCAGTCATCCTCCTTACCTCACAAGAGCCTCCTTCAGCCGTGCATTCTGTTCTTCCAGCTGCTTGACGTGGTAACTGGAGGCTGCACCATCTGAACCTAGAGTGACGGGTGAGAGGGACAGCGCAACTTTCTCAAGAGCATGACCACCTTGACAGGCATCCCCCCCACCTAAGCCCACTTTCTTGCCACTTGGCTGCACAGATATGGTGGATCCATGCTTGTCTCCTGCTCCAGTTAGATGTGGGTGGCCTGTCCATGTATTTATGGTAAAGTGATCCTTTATATGTCATATGTCATCAGCTGGGGACCCCTCACCCCAGCACCAACTGCTGCTCTGGGCCAGAGTGAAGAGAGAGGAGGCCAGGAAGACAGTTCCACCTTGTCTCCTGGGCTATTTAATAATATAATGTAATATAATATAATATAATATAATATATTGTATATGCATATAATATATATATTATAATGTAATGCAATATAATACTACTAATAATAATATGATATTATAATTATATATTTATATTACATTTACTATTACTAATAATACATATAAATAAAAATGTAATGTTTGTTTGTGGGATTAACTCAAAAACCACGGGACGAATTGCCACCAAATTTGGCCACAAGACACCTACTAACCCAAGGAGTGACCATCACTCAAAGAATTATGATTTTGTCATTTGGGAGTTGTAGTTGCTGGGATTCATAGTTCATCTGGACTCCACCAATGATGAAACTGAACCAAACTTAGCACACAGGACTCCCATGACCAAAAGAAAATACTGGAAGGGTTTGGTGGGCATTGACCTTGAGTTTGGGAGTTGTGGTTCACTACCCCCAGAGAGTGCTGTGGACTCAAACAATAATGGATCTGGACCAAACTTGGCACAAATAGCAGCCTGGTGAAGCCAAAGACAGGCAAGTAACACCGCACTGGTCGTTACTGAGGCAGGTTGAATGTAACAAGGGGGCTCCAGCCCACAGGGCCAAGCAATCATGGTGCCCGAAACTCCTCCTCACCCTCCTTCCTGAAGAAGAGTTTACTTCCCGCTCGCCCCCCTCAGCTGCCCTCCTTCCTCACCCTTCTCCTCGATCTCGTGCTTGAGGATCTCCAAGTCCATGGTGAGGTACTCCACCTTCTCCTTCAGGGAGTCCACCTCCTGCTGCAGGGACTCGGCCCGCTCCTCCGCCATCTCCTTGTCCAGAGTGGCCATCTCAATGGCGTCCGCCGTGTCAGCCATCTCCTCCATGTAACGCTCCTTGGCCTCCATGGCCTCCTTGGCTTCCTGTGCGGAAAAGAGGCGGGCATGGCTGGCAAGTCAGTCATGTGGCTTCTCTCTCCTTGGCCAAACCTTCCCTCAAGTCAGTTTCAAGGAGGGCTCTGAGATGGGTGGAGGGGAGCAAGGAATGTACAAGGTCTGGAGAACAAGCCCTATGAGGAGCGGCTTAAGGAGCTGGGCATGTTTAGCCTGAAGAAGAGAAGGCTGAGAGGAGATATGATAGCCATGTATAAATATGTGAGAGGAAGTCACAGGGAGGAGGGAGCAACTTGTTTTCTGCTTCCTTGGAGACTAGGACGCGGAACAATGGCTTCAAACTACAAGAGAGGAGATTCCATCTGAACATTAGGAAGAACTTCCTGACTGTGAGAGCCGTTCAGCAGTGGAACTCTCTGCCCCGGAGTGTGGTGGAGGCTCCTTCTTTGGAAGCTTTTAAGCAGATGCTGGATGGCCATCTGTCAGGGGTGATTTGAATGCAATATTCCTGCTTCTTGGCAGGGGGTTGGACTGGATGGCCCATGAGGTCTCTTCCAACTCTTTGATTCTATGATTCTATGAAACCTTCATCTAAGTCATTAATAAAGAAGGGATCTGAGATGGGGGGGGGGGGAAGCAAGGTATGTACAAAGCAGTTCCTGCCAGAGCCCAGCAGTCTGCATTCTGCCAGGGAAGGGAGAGGCCATGTCCTCAGGGCAGGAAGCCCACCTTTACTGGCAGGCCAAGTGAGCTCTAGAACCCGACTCTGTCCACCCAGAGAGCTTTGCTCTTCCACATCCCAAGGTCCCCTCACCTTCTTGGCCTCTTTCAGGCGCTTCTGGAGCTCCGCCTGCTGCTCCTGCATTTTGCTCTTCCACTCCTGGACCTGCTCCAGCTGGATCTTGTACTTCTCCAGCTCCTTCAGCTTGGCCTTGTCCTCATTCCGCTTCATCTTGAGGGTCTCCAGCTTCTCCTCCAGGTCTCTCACCTGGCTGCGCAAGTTCTCCTCCTCCTACGAGTGAAATAAGGCAACAAGAGGAAACTTTACCCTGCCAAACAGATTCAATAGGGATGATTTGAGGCAGTTGTAAACAGTTGATTTAAACATGGAGGTAACTGATTTTAATCTTTATGTATGCTTATAATTTACTGTATACACTCACCTTGGTGGGGGATGGGATGGCCGGAGGGCCCACCGGGGAAGCCAAGGAGGGCGTGGGCACCACTGGGGCGGCCAGGGGCGTCTGGGCCGGGGTGCTGGGCTCGCTGCTGCTCATCTCGCCTGCAGATGCCGAGGCCGATCCAGAGAGGCCAGTGGTGCCGCTGGACGCTGCCGAACTGGCCGTCCGGGTGGGCTGCAAAGTGATCATGGAGAGAGAAGGGGGAGAGAGTGAGAAGTCAGGAGGGTCTTTGCCCAGAAGGCAACTGTTGGTTCTCCAGTGCCTTGCACACAATCTCAGAGGGATGTGAATCTCACACTAAGTGAGTAAGAAGTGCAATGTAACCGATGGGCCCAGTTGTTCGCAAACATCCATGCTGCAGGGTTGTTGTAGGTTTTTTTCGGGCTATATGGCCATGTTCTAAAGGCATTTTCTCCTGACATTTCACCTGCATCTATGGCAAGCATCCTCAGAGGTAGTGAGGTCTGTTGGAACTAGGAAAAAGGGTTTATATATCTGTGGAATGACCAGGGTGGGACAAAGGACTCTTGTCTGCTGGAGCTAGGTGTGAATGTTTCAACTGACCACTTTGATTGGCATTTGATGGCCTGGCAGTGCCTGGGGCAATCTTTTGTTGCGAGGTGATTAGATGTGCCTGATTGTTTCCCCTCTGTTGTTTTGCTATTGTAATTTTAGAGTTACCAGTATTAAAAAAAACTACCAGCATTAAAAAAAAAACTTTAAAATTACAACAGCAAAACAACAGAGGGGAAACCATCAGGCACATCTAATCACCTCTCAACAAAAGATTGCCCCAGGCACTGCCAGGCCATCAAATGCCAATCAAGGCGGTCAGTTGAAACATTCACACCTAGCTCCAGCAGACAAGAGTCCTTTGTCCCACCCTGGTCATTCCACAGATTTATAAACCCATTTTCCTAGTTCCAACAGACCTCACTACCTCTGAGGATGCTTGCCATAGATGTAGGCAAAACTTCAGGAGAAAATGCCTCTAGAACATGGCCATATAGTCCAGAAAAACCTACAACAACCCAGTGATTCTGGCCATGAAAGCCTTCGACAATCCATGCTGCCTTTTGGGAACAGGATTCAAACAAGTTGGACAAAGACAAGGCACTGTTCGCTGATCCCAAGAAGAGTGGGACCGCAGGTTGCCAGGAGAGAAGGACCAGGAAGGTAAGAGGTGTGAGGCAACATCCCTGGGGAGCTGCATTCCACATTAACATCGGGCTGTTTACGTATTAACTCAACACATTTTGGTTAACTAAGGCATTCTAAGCTGCTAGTTTGGTCTGCTCCACAACCATTTACTTTACAGATAGGTTTTCAATGTTGATAGTTTGAGATATTTTGTTCTACAACATTTGCACATACCCATGGTATCCTTAAATATGAGCAAAGGCTGGTTTTAAAATGTTATAATAAACTAGCTGTACCCGCCACGCATTGCTGTGGCCAAACTTTCCTCTTTCTCTCCTTTCCCTCCTTCTTTCACTCCCTCTATCCATCCTTATTTCCTTCCTTCCTTCCCATCTTTCGTTCTCTTCTTCCTTCTCTATCTCTTCTTTCCCCTTTTTCTTCTCTTCTGCTGTCTCTCTTTTCCTTCTCTTCCTTCTCCTTCTCTCTCTCTTTCTCTACATCTTCCCCCTTCCTTCGCTCCCTCTTTCCTTCCTTCTTTCCTTTTTTCTTTCTTTCTCTCCTTCGTTCCTTCCTTTTCTTTCCTTCCTTCCCCCTTTTTTTCCTTCCCTTTTTGTCTCCTTTCTTCCTTCAACACCTCTTTCCTTCCTTCTCTCTTTGCTTATATGCTTCCTTCTTTTCTTTCTTTCTTTCTTTCTTTCTTTCTTTCTTTCTTTCTTTCTCTCCCTCCCTCTTTCTTTTCTTTTTTTTTTCTCTCCTTCCCTCCCTCTTTCTTCCCTTTTTCTGTATTGTCATTTAACTTTTCGTCATTTAGCTTTTGGGGGCTTTTTAAGTCCCTTCTGCTGTGTTTTTCAGTGTTTTTATGAGTGAAGGACATAGATTGGGTTGTTAGGTGTATGTTGTCCAAATTTGGGGTCAATTCCCCCTGTGGTTTTTGAGTTCTGTTAATCCCACAAACAAACTTTACATTTTTATTTATACAGATGAAAGAATGAACGAACGAATGAATAGCAGCTTGTGCTCCAGATATAGTGCTTTGAGTGTTGGACTAGGACATCTGGAGACCTAGGTTCAAACCTAAACCACAAATAGTGATGCTATATGACCAACTGAAAAAAAAAACATGTTATATAATCAGGAAAAAATAAAAATATGAAGGAAGCAATGAAGTTAAATATTTTGCAAAAGAAGGATGAAAGAATGAGATTCCTTCACGGTGGAAGAGGTGCTGGTCCCAAGGTGGGAGAGCCTCCTGAGCTCATGGGTTCTCACCTTGGGCCTCCTGGTGGTGGTCTGAAGGCCAAGGACGCAGAAGGAGGAAGAGGAGGAAGAGGAGGAGGAAAGACAGTCAAAACAAGGGGAGAGGCACAGAGAGACACAGACAGCGTCGGCAGTGGCGGAGACAGCAACGGCAGTGGCAGCCGGAGGACAAAGTGCAGAGGGGGAAACAAGAAAGACAGGAGGCTGGTTAGTGTACTCGCATCAGCTCCTCAGGCTCAAGAACTGGCACAGTGGTCAGCCATGCCACCCCATTCCCTCCCTCTCTCCCACCTGCCCAACAGCCACAGTTCCACATGCAGGCCAAGCACTGCCCAGTCCACCCTCCTCCTGCCAGGTCTGGGGTGCCTCCGAAGGAAGCTTGGGGTCCCCTTCCTCATTGCACCCGTGACATGCTTCTAGGGTGCAGCATCTTCAAAGCAGGACAGGTGGTCTAGATGTTATTGGGAGGACCCTCCTTGCCTCCAATGACTGCATCTCAGTTGGCCCAAAGCAAGGGCTACCCTGGCACTCTGCACACATGCAAGTGAACCCCCTTCCAAGGCACTTCTGTTCACGCTTGAGGCATCTGACCCATTGCTAACTTCTCTGACCCCTGAGAATCAGACCATCCCTGGCAGCCACGTGGAGCTTTGTGTTTGAGAGAGAGCAATAACTTGACAGGGCACCTACACAAACTGGCAGCATCACTCCAGGGTTTGGGGCAAAGGCATGGTACTGAACCTGGCATCTGTGGCATACAGACACCTCTGGACTAGGCCCCTGAAGGTGAGAAACTCCAAAGCACAGCCTAGCCTTCAGGAGAAAGCCCCAATCCAAGCGTTGTTCCCAAAACCAAAGAACACGCTTCTTTCTGTAGAAAGCACTCCATGCCAGGATGGACGTAGAGTCATCCAAAAGAGCCCACGCAACACCGTCATCCAACACCGCCTGAGCTCTGCGAGTGCAGCATTTTTCCGAATGAATCAGAGAGTGTTTGAGGATCGGGACATCTGTAGGGATACCAAGGAGTTTGTCTATAAAGTTATTGTCCTCCCAACCCTGCTATATGCCTGCGAAACGTGGACTGTCTACAGACATCAACATTGACACCGAAATACAACACCGCCTGAGCTCTGTGAGCACAGCGTTTTTCCGAATGAAGCAGAGTGTTTGAGGACCGGGACATCTGTAGGGATACCAAGGAGTTTGTCTATAAAGTTATTGTCCTCCCAACCCTGCTATATGCCTGAGAAACGTGGACTTTCTACAGACGTCACATGCAACTCCTGGAACGATTCCATCAGCACTGCCTCTGGAAAATCCTGCAAATCTCTTGGGAAGACAAGCGGACAAGCGTCAGCGTGCTGGAAGAAGAAGCAAAGACCACCAGCATTGAAGCGATGGTCCTCAGCCATCAACTCCGCTGGAGACCAAGGTGCTTGTTTATAAAGCTATTGTCCTTCCAACTCTACTATTTGCCTGTGAGACGAGGACTGTCTACAGATGTCAACATTGACACTGAAATACAACACAGCCTGAGCTCTGCGAGTGCAGCATTTTTCCGAATGAATCAGAGAGTGTTTGAGGACCGGGACATCTGTAGGGATACCAATGTGCTTGTTTATAAAGCTATTGTCCTCCCAACCCTGCTATATGCCGAACGTGGACTGTCTACAGACGTCACATGCAACTCCTGGAACGATTCCATCAGCGCTGCCTCCGGAAAATCCTGCAAATCTCTTGGGAAGACAAGCGGACAAATGTCAGCGTGCTGGAAGAAGCAAAGACCACCAGCATTGAAGCGATGGTCCTCCGCCATCAACTCCGCTGGACCGGCCTGTTGTCCGGATGCCCGACCACCGTCTCCCAAAGCAGTTGCTCTACTCCAGTGGTTCTCAACCTGGGTTCTCAACCTGGGTTCCCCAGATGTTTTAGCCTACAACTCCCAGATATCCCAGTCAGTTTACCAGCTGTCAGGATTTCTGGAGTTGAAGGCCAAAAACATCTGGGGACCCCAGGTTGAGAACCACTGCTCTACTCCGAACTCAAGAATGGAAAACGGAATGTTGGTGGACAGGAAAATAGATTTAAAGATGGGCTCAAAGTGAACCTTAAAAACTGTGGCATAGACACTGAGAACTGGGAAGCCCTGGCCCTTGAATGCTCCAGCTGGAGATCAGCTGTGACCAGCAGTGCTGCAGAATTTGAAGAGGCATGAACGGAGGGTGAAAGAGAGAAACATGCCAGGAGGAAGGTGCGTCAAGCCAACCTTGACCAAGACCGCCGTCCACCTGGAAACCAATGCCCTCACTGTGGGAGAAGATGCAAATCAAGAATAGGGCTCCACAGCCACCTACGGATCCACAAGAATACTGGTCATGGAAGACTATCCTACTCATCGCCTAAGTAAGTAAGTAAATAAGTAAGTAAGAAGCAGGGTAGCTCTGGAAGGCCTTGCTGATCTGTGTCAGACAATGAAGCCTTCCCTTGGTGCCAGAAGCTGCTTCCTAATGGTTCTAATTTTCCCAGGAGATGACATGATCAAAGAGATGGTGCCCCCACCCCACCCACCAACCCCTCCCCACCTCTTGCAAAACAGCTGCATGAAGGAGACAAAGTCCCCATTGTCAGCAAAGGGAGAGGCTGCTCCAAACTGCTCTTGGACGCCAACGTCCACATGCTCCACTGAGCTCAAGGCGCCAGTGATGGGAGTGGGGGTGGGCAAATGCCAGATAGCTTTGCAGTCAAAAATAGTTCCACAACGCTGATTTCAGATGACTTCCAGTTGAGTGGTGCCTGCGTTCTGGGCAGCTGCATGGCCGCCACGAAAGAACAGATGCAAGTATTGTCGAAGGCTTTCATGGCCGGAATCACTGGGTTGTTGTAGGTTTTTTCGGGCTATATGGCCATGTTCTAGAGGCATTCTCTCCTGACGTTTCTCCTGCATCTATGGCAAGCATCCTCAGAGGTTGTGAGGTCTCTGAGAATGCTTGCCATAGATGCAGGCGAAACGTCAGGAGAGAATGCCTCTAGACCATGGCTATATAGCCCGAAAAAACCTACAACAACCCAACAGATGCAAGACAATTGTCAAACAATCAAGAACAACAACAGCAAAAAGGTTCTACACAAGGAGACCCTTCTATCTTCAAAAAGTGTGTCATATCTGCAAGGAATGCAGGATCTGAACATCCAGCTTGATTGTTCTTGATTGTTTGATAATTTTCGGCCTTTACTTTCTCCCTCTCAACCTTCTAGAGACCACAGGGATGACAAAAGCATCCAGCTTGGTGGCTGGTAACTTCTCAGAAGCTAAGCTGGAGGAGAAGCAATTGCAGGAGGGGTGTCTGCAGTCGGGATGGATCTTGCCCTCAACCTCCTCAACCCTACTCTTTACCACAAAAGCTCCTGCTGGCAAAAGGAGCAAGGCGGGTGAGAAAGGGACTTGAGTCTGTCCCTTGGCAAGGTCTCCAGGAACCAGCCTGGGAAAAGGGACTCTGCCAGTGGCTCCTCGGACGTCTCTGGGGCAACCCCAATTGTCTCCCCTAGCTTCATCTGCAGAACACATCCACCCTGGGTCCAGCCTTTGAATTTTCTTGGCACAAAGATTTTGGCAAGGATGTCCTGGTTCCCTTGAAGCTATTAAGCTATGAAGCATAGATGCCCAGGAAGACATTGGCGCACAGGAAGGCTCCAGGACTCATGTATTATTGATGTTATTTAGAAAACTGAAGGCTCCCACCCTTCTGGCACATTTGCGCTTCCAAAGTGGTTCACCACAGCAAAAAGCAAACTTGAGGCAGCATGAAGGACCAGGAGATGAAAACTGTTCTAAAAAAGGAGACCACTGCATGCAGTATTACATGGTGAGATAAATGCTTTCTTATACAAACACAGGCAGTCTTTAATGGTGGAGTGTGGAGGAGACCCTCTAAGTGGACCCAAGTCCACTTAGAGCAGTGGTTCTCAACTTGTGGGTCCCCAGATGTTTTGGCCTTCAGTTCCCAGAAATCCTAACATCTGGTACACTGGCTGGGATTTCTGGGAGTTGTAGGCCAAAACACCTGGGGACTCACAGGTTGAGAACTACTGACTTAGAGTCTGAAGGGTGGCCCATGGTCTGTCAAGATGTGCCCAGAAAGAAGGTGGTAACCAGGATGGATCCTGAAGAACAGATGCCCTGTGATGCCTGGGCCAGTGCCTACCCATACATTTGCCACTCACTCCTGGAATGAAGTTCTGCCTAATGTCCCACCAAAACATTATGAAGAACATCCTGAGGGTCCTACAGACCTGTAGCGGTGACAGAATCTGCTACAGCATGAGAGTCTTGTGGAGTCTCCTCTGGAGGTGCGTGCACACATTCAGAAGAAGATCTACAAGCCACTCTAAACACCTTTGCAGGAGCATACGAGAAGCTCGGCCTGTCATTGAACACTGAGAAAACCAAAGTGGTGTTCCAGCAGACACCAGCCAACCCCTCCCCAATGCCAGAGATACAACTTTATGGTGTAACATTAGAAAATGTGGACCGTTTCCGCTAACTTGGCAGCCACTTCTCCGCCAAAGACAACATCGGCACCGAAATACAACACCACCTGAGCTCTGCAAGTGCAGCATTTTTCCGAATGAAGCAGAGAGTGTTTGAGGACCGCGATATCCGTAGGGATATCAAGGTGCTTGTCTACAAAGCTATTGTCCTCCCAACCCTGCTCTATGCCTGCGAAACGTGGACTGTCTACAGGCGTCACATGCAACTCCTGGAACGAGTCCATCAGCGCTGCCTCTGGAAAATACTGCAAATCTCTTGGGAAGACAGGCAGACAAACATCAGTGTGCTGGAAGAAGCAAAGATCACCAGCATCGAAGCAATAGTCCTCCGCCATCAACTCCGCTGGACCGGCCACGTTGTCCGGATGCCCAACCACCATCTCCCAAAGCAGTTGCTCTACTCCGAACTCAAGAACAGAAAACGGAATGTTGGTGGACAGGAAAAGAGATTCAAAGATGGCCTCAAAGCAAACCTTAAAAAC